TATCTTCCATAATACTCACCACCTCTATCCGACTCGACAATTTTCACCTTTCGTCTAATTGCCTCTCCACTTCGTTTATATAACTTTCTAAGGCATTTATCGCTTGAGATTTCTCATATAGTAAATAGACATATCCATAACGCGAGAAATCGTCAATGAAAGTGATGAAATACTTCTCTTTATTAAAAGAATTTACGTCAAATGGACCACATATATCGAGTATGTATGATTTCAAGAAGTTGAGTGCTTCTTGTGGCTCCTTTCTTTGTGTGTTTTGTTTGTTTACCTTTAATACAATCCACACATACATTCAGATCGAGTAAAATCTAAATCCGAAGGATTTCATTCTTTACTAATCTTTGCATTCTTTCTTTGGAAATATGTCCCAAACGCTTATGCCACAAATAAGCAGATCTTTCATCCACCAAACTACGTTTAGTGCCAACATTATAATGCAAGGTCATGAGAGTTTCAAGCATATAAATTATCCAAATTCAATTTATATAAACCATCATAAAGTGTACCAGCTCCAATCATACATGTACGCTTAAATAAACTGAAACAACTATTCCCAAACTTAAAAGAGTATCCAAGAACATCGAGCTTAGACAAAGAAACTAAATTTCTAGTGATACTAGGTACATAAAAAGTATCCATAAGGTCTAAGTGATATCCAAGTGTCAAGGATTAAACGATAAGTCCCGACAGCCTTCCACTCGGAACCTTGACTTTATTCCCCATGAAGACGAACTTCTCATTTGGGTTTATGGTTCGGGTTGAAAGGAATCCTCGCATCACATTAGAAACATGAGTTGTACATCCGGAATCAATCCACCAAGTATTATGGGGAACTTCAGTTAAATTTGATTCAAAACATACGTAAGCACTATGCTCACCTTTCTTTTCGAACCAAGCTTTACGCTTTAAGCAGATCCTTCCGAAAATGTCCAGACTTCCCGCAGAAATGACATTTGTCATTTTTCTTCCGAATGTTAGTAGAGGACTCGTTAATCTTTAATGGTCCTTTACCCTTTCCATGTTTCTTAACAACTTTCTTTTTAGCTCCTTGATTTTTCACGTAATGAATAGAGTGGCTTCCTAGGTTCTTGAGTCTCGGTCTCCTCCTGGACTAACATACTCGTGCAATTCATGCACATTCCATTTGTCTTTCATGGTGTTATAATTCATCTCGAAACGGACCATACTCGAGCGGTAACGAGTTCAAAATGAATTGCACAAGGAAATTTTCTTCCACTGCCATTCCTAGAGACTTCAGTCTTGCTGCGATATTTGTCATTTCGATTACGTGTTCATGCATACTACGAGAACCATCAAACTTCATGGTGGTCAACGTACTCATCAATGTCCCAGACGAGGGATTTGTCGGCTAGCTTGAGAGCGCTCTTCCACAAATTTCATGAACTCTTTCGCATCCTCGGCTTTGGGAAGAGCAGATTTAATATTGCTTGCTACACTCATTCGCATAAACATAAGGCTAAGTCGGTTTGATCTTTCCCAAGCTCTATAATGAGTTTTCTCTTCATTACTACTAGCATCGTTGATAGCGAATCGGTTTTTCAACTTGGAAAGCCAAATCAAGATCCAACACACCTAAGTGAAATTGGACTTGTTCACTCCAGATCAGGGAAATTTAACCCATTAAAGACTGGAACGGACGAAGATAGCGAATGCAGTAGCTACAGGAACAGATACCGCAATTACCACATGCCTAACATTAATACTTTGAGTCATAAAATTAAACATAAATACAGATTCAACCATAAATTACCATTCTCTCGCATACTAATGTTCTCCTTTGGGAGATCCACCAATACACAAACATAATTACGCTAACCATTTTATAACATTAATGATAATTAAAATATGCATCAACTAGAATCACTTAACACCTTTGGGTATATAAATAAAACTAGTGACGCACAGAAAATTATCTACTTTCATGTTCATTAATTATAATAACAATTAATCAACCTTTCGGGTGATCCTGAAATGTCTTATAATAATGAACTTCAATTAACCCATAAATCAATTATTCATAATTTTAGCTGCTCATACTATGGGTAATTGAAATAAAATCACTAATAATTTGAAATTAAAATAACCTTAAAATTTTGGCCACTTTAGTGACTAACAAAATTTATCATACTTAATTTCAAATAAATACCATCTTTAATTGCTATTAACTATTCATAATATTTTTCATTAATTTTAATTTATCAATAACAAAACATAACATTATTATTATAAATTAAAATTCATTCCTTTTATAATAAAATAAAATTATAAAAGAGAATTCTCCTCCACAAGTAACATTCACATTTCACATTCATACTTAAATTGGATTTTAACACTCGAACCCCGATTCACAGTAGACATATGCCTGCAGTAAACCATATCCAAGTGCATGGAAAAAGAAATTTATCTCGGGAAGGAGAAAAAAACCCCAATGGTGCATTAAGAGAGCTTCCAAAGGACCTTATTTGGGCAAAATTACTAACGCCTGCTTAAGATGATTTCTCATCGGACTTTTCCCGTCTCCCATCATCGCTATGGAGAACGATGACGGTGGTGCAGCCTTGTGGTTGAGGCGTAAACGCTCAACACGCAGGTGTCCAAGACGGAGGAGAAAGGGGTTTAAACGGCGTTGTATCAAGGCCGTAGAATCAAGTATATAGATTTCCTTAAACGATTTTCTTAAAGCATTTAAAGTCAAGTACGCACGTTTGCAATTAATATGATAATTAAAATCACACATTAATTCTATACTGGACTACGTGATACTTTCAATTATACACGTGAAATATTTCAATTACCCAGGGTTCCCCAACTTGCATCATTAATTAATTGCAATGGAAATTAATTGCATTATAAATTACGTGTGCATTGACGCCAAACAAGTAAAATACCTAAATTTTATTTTCAATTAAGGATTGCATAACCATTGAAACTCATAAATTATCAAATTGATTTCAATTTGAAATTAAATGCAACCTTATCCATAAATTAGGGCTTATCCTTTTATTCAATTTTGGGAAAAGATAAATTTGGGAATAATTAGGGTTCACGTTAATCCGATAAAAATTCCTAAATTCATAATTAGGGTTTATCTTAATTTGGGAAAAACTATCATAAGAGGAAAATCATAAATCTAATAAACATGCTCTCGATACCACATGTAAACTTTCTCGTAGTTTTCCTACGCTCTTAATTCGTTATAGAAAACTACTCTACAGGATCTTTAGATTATTGATTTTCACATTTGCATACATCAATACATGAATATAGTAAGAGAACTAACCTTGATCCATGAGAATCCTTTATTGATCTTTTCGTTCTCCAATCTCCTTTTCCCAATCTATCTCTTTGCCTTTCTTTCTCTTCTCACGCTTCGCTTTCTAGATGGTTTACCGTGAAAAGACCTTATAGCCGAGACGTAACCCTAATCCCTTTTATTAACCAACGTCCATCGAGTTGGTTACATTCGAGTTAATATTTTATTTTATCTTTATTTTATTCTGACTTCACATAATAACCAATAGGTCCTTATAATTATTAAATCACATTTGGGCCCTTTATAATATTTCACATGAGTCACATAATGGAATGAATTAATTAAAAATTAATTCTAACGAGTTAAAACTGTCATTTGTTTTTTAATTTTTGTCTTGAGATAATAATTGACGTTTTAATATAAATTAAAAGTATCATTTGTATAATATTGACTTATTTCAATAAAAGAGTGTGTTGAAAATCTCAATTATGTAATATATAATATTTTTAGAAAAATATATTACTTTTAAAATTATTTAGTTTTATGATGAAAATATAATTTAAATACTAAACTATTCTATATTATTAATTAATTTTGTATTGAATCTAATTCGTAAATTTCGTATTACTTAAAATTAATAATAATTTATATATATTATTCTTTTTCAATATACTGAGATATTGGAAAAAAAAATTAAAAATAAATGATACAGACAAATCTTAATAACATTGTCCCATTAAACACTTGAAAAAATAAAAATTATATACCTACTGGAAGTATGTAATATGTCACTGACTCTATACACACTTACCCTGTCCTCCAACGTCACATGTCTCATCACTCACACTCTCACCAATCATTTCAACCACTCAATATTCATCGTATTTTTATTATTTATTTTGGAATCACATCTGTATCTATACTGTACGGATACCAGTACACGACGCTGCCACCATTGTCTTCTCTATCCGCTCTATCTGCGTAAATAAAATAAAATTTTAATTTTTAAAGGATAATAACAATAAAAATAATAATAATAATAATAGAAATATTAAAATGAAGACGCATGCAAAAAGGTCATGATGGTGTCCTGTGTGACCCACTCCACTTCTACGCAAACCTCCTCCTCCCATGCTTTTGTGTATTTTAAGACTCTCATCGCAATTTACAATACTGCCCCTACGCACCCTCCTTTTTACCCATCGCCCATTACCACCACTCATTGGACACCAAAAACACTTTTTTTAAAGGTCATATTAATTATTAAATCTTAAAAATAAATTAAGCAGTCTGATAATCAATGTGAAAACAATTATGGCTAATTTAAAATGAAAAATCGTGGCTTTGGAATTCACACCATTGGTTCCAGAATCCATGTTTGACACTTGGTGGGGTCTTGGATCATTTTTAGTAACACGAATCAAGTAGAAGATCCATCGTTATGTACAACTTTTTTTCTTTTACGTCCATTATTTGTCCATATCTATTATCAAACCAAGCATGTGAAACCAAGCACATGAAAAGTAAATCTGAAGTAGAATCTTCTTCAAATCTGTTTAACAACGTTTTATGTGTAGTTATTTACTAACTTCCATTCGCATTCTACGAGTTTGTTTTATACACGTGTGAACTAAAAACCATGTAAAAAAATATTTATGCCACAAATAAAATTATGAATGAAAGATATTAAAAATAATAAATCTAATGAATGAAAGGAGTGGGGGGTAATTATGAGATTGTGCAGACAATGATAAGCGAGCGGCGGGGCCAGCGTTCCAAAGAGGAGGTGTCAGAAGAGCCGCGGGAAAAAGGACAAGTTGGTAAATTCGTACCCAGTCCTGTGCAATTTTAAATAGTAATTAATTGATTTATATTGAAATAAGGAAAAGGAGGGTGCTCCATTTTGAACCGAAAGTGAAAGAACCAATGAAAAAGAATCACAGCGGAGCAAATCTGTGAAACACATGAATTGAGGAAGCAACAACATCTCCAAAAAGCAAAAGCCTGTTGTTTCACCTAGCCATCCTAGGGTTTTCTTCTCTTTAATCCCCAAAGAGAGAAAAAAAAAAAAGAGAGTAGTCAGTAGGCACCGTCACAGTTCAAAGGGCAATTTCTCAGTGCTTGAGATTCCCCAAAGAAAAACAGAAATTGTGAAGAAATCATTCTTTCTGTGATCTATTTTTCTTCGGTTTGCTTCTCTCAATGGCGTTTGTTTGATACCTTCCTAAATATGGTCAAGAGATCAGCTGGAACTCGGTTTGATTAGATTATATCAGCAGAAAGCGTGTGTATGTGTGTGGTGGCTTCCAAGGATGAAGATCGGTGAAGCGGCGTCGTTTTGGCTCGTTCTGAGGCAGAGAGGGACTGCGTAACCAGCTTCAGCGGATGCTCTGTTTTGAGAATCGAATCGGTTGCTAAGTAACAGTTTACCTGTTTATAGTTTTATGCTGGAAGACTGTTCGGGTAGGGTGTTAGTGGGAATCAGATCGTTGGTGTTCGTAGCATGAGGTTGGTGTCCGAGGGTCTGATCTCGAAGGATTTAATGTTTTGTGGGTGTGTGTTAGTGAGCAACAAAGGTAGCTGCTAGCTCTGTGTGGAGCTGTTGAAATTGTTGTTGGGAGGTTTGGTTGTGGAGGTGGGTGATAGAGTTGTGTAGGTATGGCAATGTCCTGCAAGGATGGTAAACCAGGATTGGATAACGGGAAATATGTCCGTTACACGCCTGAGCAGGTTGAAGCCCTCGAGAGGCTTTATCATGACTGCCCCAAACCCAGTTCCATTCGCCGTCAGCAGCTCATTCGTGAGTGTCCTATTCTCTCCAACATTGAGCCTAAGCAAATCAAAGTTTGGTTTCAGAACAGAAGGTGCACTTGCCTACTTGGCTCTTTTGGTTCTTTGTTCTTTGCTCAATATTGTCTCTTCAATGTGTTGTGTTTGTTGTGAATTTCAGGTGTCGAGAGAAGCAGAGAAAAGAGGCCTCGCGGTTGCAAGCTGTAAATAGGAAGCTCACAGCCATGAACAAGCTTCTCATGGAGGAGAATGATAGGTTGCAGAAGCAGGTGTCTCAGTTGGTTTACGAAAATGGCTACTTTCGTCAACACACTCAGAATGTATCATCTCTTTCAACTGTGTCCTTTTTATGAAGTTAATTTATTTATCTCTAGTAATTTTTGCAGCTTAGTCTTAAGGTTAAACTGTTTTGCTTTTTCTCTTTAGTTATTACTGCATGGATTATAATTGAGTTGGAATGGTGTTCTCTCTGCAGACTGCGCTTCCGACCAAAGACACGAGCTGTGAATCGGCGGTGACTAGTGGTCAACGCAGTTTGACAACCCAGCATCCCCCAAGGGATGCAAGTCCTGCAGGGTTAGTGGGAATATGATAAATGGGCCTGGGCACCTTTCTGTCATTGTTGTCTGTAAGAACTTGGTTGACTGTGTGGACTTATGGAATGACTTGTTATTTTTCTCAGGCTTATGTCCATTGCAGAAGAAACTTTAGCAGAGTTTCTTTCGAAGGCTACTGGAACTGCTGTTGAGTGGGTCCAAATGCCTGGAATGAAGGTAATCCAACCAATTGTTTTCTTTTTTCAATTCCTTCATTGAGACAAAGCATTCGCATAATGGCGAAATTAACATCTTTGAGTAACTTCACATTCTGGCTTGTACATTTCTTTTCTGATAACGGTTTATGTTCTATTCGCAGAATGCCAGCTCGAAAAACCATTAATAAAATATTGTTTTTCATTAATTCTTTGTTATTTGTGCAGCCTGGTCCGGATTCCATTGGAATCGTTGCTATTTCTCATGGTTGCACTGGTGTGGCAGCAAGAGCCTGCGGCCTAGTGGGTCTAGAACCGACAAGGGTTAGTGATCTGAATTTATTGTCTTCACATTAATTTCTTGCTTGTATTCATAGATGGCATGATCAACTATATGTTTTCCAGGTTGCAGAAATCCTTAAAGATCGGCCTTCATGGTTTCGTGATTGCCGAGCTGTGGATGTTCTGAATGTGCTGCCCACAGCAAATGGTGGAACCATAGAGCTGCTTTATATGCAGGTAAGGCAACTCTATCTGTATGAATAAATGATGACTCTGTGTAACAAACAGCCTAATTCTTTATTTGCATGTTTGATGATCAGCTATATGCACCAACCACATTGGCACCTGCCCGTGACTTCTGGTTGTTGCGCTACACATCTGTCTTAGAAGATGGGAGCCTAGTGGTAAATCACTCTAATGAATTCTTGAAGTTCATGTTTGATTAATATTCTCATGTGTAGAATGCCTACTACATTTATATTAAACAGTTTTCTGATTCCACATTAACATCTACATCATTCTTATAATGCTTACTGCTTCAGATCTGTGAGAGGTCCCTTAAAAATACACAAAATGGTCCAACCATGCCTCCCGTGCAGCATTTTGTTAGAGCAGAGATGCTTCCAAGTGGGTACTTAATAAGACCCTGTGAAGGAAATGGTTCCATCATTCACATTGTTGATCACATGGATTTGGAGGTATATGAATTCTACTCAGTTGACATTAATAATTTCTATTTGGCTAAAATAACTTTGCATGATTGTGTGTTAGCCATGGAGTGTTCCTGAAGTACTTCGACCACTGTATGAATCATCAACTGTGTTGGCTCAGAAGACAACTATGGTGGTATGTTTTTTATTTTAGTGCTGATGAGAATCCAATCATATAGCAGTTCAATAATTGTCATTTTCCATCTTATATCATTCAATTTATAATTTTATAAAATTAAGAAATATTTATTATTTTAAAAGTAGCATGAGTGTAAATTAAGGGGTTTTTAGTCCTTTACTAAAGGTTATGGCTTATTTACATTTCCTGTCCTTTACTGCCAGGCACTACGTCAACTAAGGCAGATTTCACATGAAGTTTCCCAGTCTAATGTAACTGGTTGGGGGAGACGACCGGCAGCTCTTCGAGCACTTGGCCAGAGACTCAGCCGGTTAATATATTTAATTGGGGCTTGATTTTTGATGAATATTGCACCTAAATTTAGAATCTGACATTCATTTCCTGACAGTGGCTTCAATGAGGCGATCAATGGGTTCACTGATGAGGGATGGTCAATGATTGGCAATGATGGTGCTGATGATGTTACAGTTCTAGTGAATTCATCACCTGATAAGTTAATGGGTCTGAATCTTTCCTTTGCCAATGGATTTCCATCTATCAGCAATGCAGTCTTGTGTGCTAAAGCTTCAATGCTGTTACAGGTAAAGGACGCATTCAAATTTCACTGAATTTTCTTAAATTAGAAAATAACATGTCTGACTAATAGTTTGTCTTTTATTTCTATTGAGATTGTAGAAGACATATAGAGATAATGCTCTTGTTGTATCTTAAACGTAAGAGTTCACTTAGTTGACTGCATATTGTTTATTGTATGTGCGCCCATTTTTAATTTGAAGAATCATGGAGTACAAATGATCATAATAATGACTACCAATTCCCTCTGTAATGAAACATTGTCCCATCCCCATCCAATGGGATTGCTTGAGATATAACGAATTGTTTGACTTTGGCTGGCCTTTCTAACCTGCATCAGCTCCAATGTCTTGTTTGTACTGTAATTAGTTAATAGTTCATGATTATTTGTTCTTTTAACTCTGACATTCTATAACCATGTTCCTTTTTTGTCCAGAATGTGCCTCCTGCCATACTACTGAGGTTCCTACGGGAGCATAGATCAGAATGGGCAGACAACAACATGGATGCTTACTCAGCCGCAGCCATTAAAGTTGGTCCTTGTGCCTTACCAGGATCTCGTGTTGGAAATTATGGGGGCCAAGTTATACTTCCTCTAGCCCACACTATCGAGCATGAGGAGGTACTAAGTTGGTTCTAAACACTTAATACAGGCATTATGAATTTAGAAATTGTGCAGATTCTAACTTCTCTCTTGCCTATCTATTCTAGTTTCTTGAAGTTATTAAGCTGGAAGGAATTGCTCATTCTCCTGAAGACACAATCATGCCCAGAGAAGTATTTCTTTTACAAGTAAGTTTTTCCCTTGTATTGATTGCTCTATGCTTCTCCTGTTGGGGGTGATGTGTCTTGCTTGATGTGGTGCTAATGTGCAGAAATAATTATATGAACTTTTAAGCAGCCTGACTTTGATTACTACTCGGATCACTCGAGTTCGTAATTCACTACTCCAATTTCTCTGGTTATACAATTTAAATTATCTTGGATAAATCAATGTATAATACTAATTTTTCTATGTTTGCAATGTATGAAAGTTTGATGCATGTTATGAATCAGAATTCAAAGTTGTGTGTTGACTTGTTACTTTAGTACTGGCATTTTTTTAAGTTACATGATATATAAAACTCAGTATATTGTTATTCACATTTCCTATATTTAAAAGCAAATGAAAATATGAATGGTGCAACTCTGCCCCTTTTCCCATGTATGAGGACGTAAATGTATTACTATCCCTTGCTCTTTTGATTTTTTTAGTAGAAGAAGTAACTTGCTATTTAGCTCAGTATTATTTGAACTCCTGTGGCTACTGAATAATAGTTTTTTTTTTCTTGCCAATCACCATCATTTTGATTTCTACCATATCGAATTTGTGTGTACTTTCTAATAGTTCATTTGTTTTTTTATAGCTCTGCAGTGGAATGGATGAAAATGCTGTTGGAACCTGTGCAGAACTTATATTTGCTCCAATTGATGCATCTTTTGCTGATGATGCCCCCCTTCTGCCTTCTGGATTTCGCATCATTCCTCTTGATTCTGGAAAGGTTAGCCTTTTTTATTCTCAAAGCAGTATTTTTTTTCAGAATTTGGTATTTAATTTTTCACAAGGTTCTTTTAGTTATTGCAATTCAAAATTTTGTAGGAAGCATCCAACCCAAATCGCACACTTGACCTGGCATCTGCCCTTGACATTGGCCCAACTGGAAACAGAGCATCAAATGATTATTCTGGAAATTCTGGTTCTATGAGATCGGTGATGACAATAGCATTTGAATTTGCATTTGAAAGTCATATGCAAGATCACGTAGCAACCATGGCACGACAATATGTTCGTAGCATTATATCATCAGTCCAAAGGGTAGCATTGGCACTTTCTCCTTCTCATTTAAGTTCACAAGCTGGGCTTAGAACACCACTGGGTACTCCTGAAGCGCAAACACTTGCTCGCTGGATCTGCAGTAGTTATAGGTTTGTATGCTATTTTTTACTTATGTCATTTCCTTCCGTATTACTGCACCCGAGGCTGGTGTATTTAGCCATGGTACTGGTTTACATATCCTGCATGATTTCCTTTTCACATGTGAAACCATTGTTTGTCAATATTGTCTTGGGGACGAGAAATCACTTTGATGTTACCTTACTTGATATACCTACATTTAGTGATATTCCTTTTTCTGATAGCCACCTCTTGTCCTTTAAGAGTTTCACCTACGTCGTTTCCATTTTGAAAAGGAATCTTCTACAGAACTTGGCAGCAAAGATATGGCGAGTTCTATGTAATAGAATTGTGACACCAAATCTTGACATTCTGTTGTGGTTGTAACTGTTGACTGCTAGTCCAATGCTCTTAATTCTTGTATCAGATCAACAAAAACATTAATTGAAATTCTTGTACATTAATTAACGATAAGTTCAGTTGCATATGCTCGAATATTGAAAATTTTGGCTGACTGATATTTCATGGAGAGCATTGTATTTCAGACACACCTGTTTGACTATTAATTTTGTAGGTGCTACTTGGGTGTAGAGCTACTTAAATCTAATAACGAAGGGAACGAATCTTTGCTCAAGTCCTTGTGGCATCACTCAGATGCAATATTGTGCTGCACTCTAAAGGTATGCTCCCAATTGATTTCAGTTTCATAGTACATGCATCTATTCTCAGTGGCATGTACTTTATTGATCTACATCGTTCAACTCAGATTTCCTCATGTAAAAAATAATGAGAATATTTAGTTGGACTTGGACTCTCTGAATGCCTGATGTTTCTGATATGAGGGGTTCAAAAGATGTTCAATTATTTTAGTTGTAGTGCTTTGCACAGATTTTTGTGGTCTTTTGCCTATAGCATTAGACCATTTTGTACCTAGTATCTTCAAGAAATTATATCTGGAAGATTTGTACTTTTTTAAGTTATAGTGCTTCAAGGAATTCTACTAGTTATATTTGCAAGTAACTTTTCAATACATGTTATTTTTATGTAATGAATTATGCATATTTTTGTTCTTTTTCCTCAAGTTTAAATTCATTTTGCACTTGGTACATTAAAGGACTTATACCTGTCCAATTTGCCAGTGAACTAACTATACCTTGATCAATATAACCCATCTACCAGTTTGAAAAGCACTTTTGTTAAACGTGGTTGTTGCAGGCGTTGCCTGTGTTCACTTTTGCCAACCAGGCTGGGCTTGACATGCTGGAGACCACCTTGGTTGCTTTACAAGATATAACGTTGGAGAAGATATTTGACGATCATGGCCGAAAGATTCTGTGCTCAGAGTTTCCCCAAATTATTCAACAGGTCTAATAATTAAACATGCGTTAATTCCACTGCGACCAGGCTTGTTATCGATTGACGTTTTGCTTTTAGACGCGTCACATGCATTAATTCTCTCTGTATAATTATGCTGCAGTCTCTTGATTTGATAAGCTGATAATTGAATATATATTCTAATTTTTAGGACTTTTATTGTTTGAAAAAAAGCTTTTGTTTGAGTTTTTTATTTTATCTTTGTCAATAAATGGATCAATTTTGATCATTTGTTAGAAGTGTGGGAGATAAAGAAGTTAAAATTTAGTCTTGAGAGAAGCGAGGAACTAGCTGCATTTCCCAGCTTTATTGTGGTTTCTAATGAATTTGTTTCATTCTATTTGGACAGGGTTTTGCGTGCCTTCAAGGTGGTATTTGTCTCTCAAGCATGGGGCGACCCATCTCATATGAAAGAGTAGTGGCTTGGAAGGTACTGAACGAAGAAGAGAATGCTCATTGTATTTGCTTTATGTTTATGAACTGGTCTTTCGTTTGACATATGCTATGATATTAGAGAATAGAAATCAAAGTGTTATAGATGCAAACACTCTTCTAAGACTTGTTTTGTTTGGTGTTTTGTTGTATTTGCTGCGAAAACTTGGATTGCATGTAAAAGACGACGACTAATGTGTTAGCTAATGTTTATTTCCTCATTCGGTGTTTTTTTTTATGTTAGTCTTTCTTATAATTTACACTCTCTGCTATGGGAGAAGTCTTGACATTTGGACCATACACAACTTACGATCATTAAACAAACTTGATTATCACCAATTGGTAACAGTTTTTCTTAAGTAAGATATTAAGCACTTTTAAGATTGTTTTGATCAAAATGAGCATTCCTCGCATTCTGATTTGTTTCGACGCCGCTTAACTGTCAAGGAAGTAGGGTGAGTGAATGATCTAATGTTAAGCTTTAGAATTGTTATATTATTTCAATTAGAATGTTAATTTTGTCGTCCAATCATTATATATAATTTTAATATTAGTGTGATTATTTGGGTAAAATGATATTGAAATTAAACAAAATAATTAAATGAATTCTGTTTTAATATAGTGTAAAAACTAAATGATGCGTTAATTTTGATCTATCTACATAAAATTAGTATCAAATATGATGCATATATAAGAAATACACTTTTAATTTAGAGGTGATTTTTTATAAAAATATAATTAAAGGATAATAAACTGTAAAATGTAATCGAAAGTTTATAATTTGATTATTTTAATTGAAAATTTCTTTCATGTAAATTTTAGATAGAAAATTTAATATTAATATAAAATTATTTCGGAGTCTCATTACTATTATTATTATTATTATTATTATTATTATTAAAATCAATGTAATATATATATATATATATATATACACATTTTCTTAAAATATTAATTATTTGACATTTTGTTATTATTATCATATTTTAACAAAAATTAATATAAATAATCATGGTAATAAATTATAATTTAATGACTATATCGATAAAATTTAATTTTTCTCAAAAAAGTTATTGACTGAACATTTGTTAAAAGTTAAAATGGAAAAGTTATTTTTTTCTTGCTTCTCTCTATAATTAAAAAAAATATTTAGAACTGATAAATGTATGTCTTTTTTTATTTATCAAATGCATTTACACTTAAAATATATTTGAACAAATTTTTATATAAATCTTTTCACGAGAAGAAAATAAGAAAAAAAAGTAAAATATTTTGCTATATTAAGTAAAACAAATTTACGCATTAAAAAAATATAATTTTGAAAAACTAATAAAAAATTATCTCGATAAATTAACGTACACATAAACTTATTTTAGTTTATGAAAAAAATTGTTTATTTATTTTTTTCAAACTTCGATAAAAGTTGGACGATAATAAAAAATTATAACAAATTCCGTCGTTACTTAGAGAAAAAAATAAGTATGCAGAATTCCTCTTAAATAATATAATATGTCTCATTATGTTCACAACGTATTTATTGATTATTTTGTAAGTTAGTTTGAGTAGTAATATTTGTCTTGGTGTTGTTAATTATCATATGTAATCATGCATATGAGAATTCCTTGAGGAGTTACAGATCAGTCTTCAAACAATGGCTTTAGTAATTATCATTCACATATTTAACTGCTTTATGTCCCTCTCAGTTCTTTATGTTTTGGACCTTTTTTTAACCAGCAGTTCTTAACCAATATTCTCATGAAGACGTGATTAGTGGTTTCCTTCATTTTTGAACCACCACTCATTTATGTGCTGTTGCCTTCATTTGCATTTGCATTTGCATTTAGTATCTGTCATATGTCATATTATGTTTCAGGCGCATGCAGACCAATTCAGTACCCTTTTACAGCCAGACCCTAAATCAGACACTGACTGCAACTTTTTTTTTTCTTATATCTTAATCAAAACCAATGGCTTTTCTTCCTGCTTTCCCATCTCCTCGTGAAATAATAAAAAGTGAAGGTTTGTGGAATAAGGCTCCTAGATGTAAATGTTCAACACAAAAGCATAAAAGTTTAGGCAAATATGTGTGGTTTTACCATGCCATCATGTGAATGCCCCACAAGCTGTATTGGTGCTCACCTCTCCCAGTATTGGATCAAATCCAATCGTTTTGTTGAAAGCAATGACTTTTTATTAATGGCAACCAACTTTCTTACTGTTATATTACATGGATATTTAAAACATATTCTAATGAAAAAGGGGAGTTTTTCTCCTTCTTCATCTTCTTTTGTTTTTTCTGTATGAAGACTAGTGTTGGAAACTTTGTATGGTAGGGTAAAAAAGAGATAAAAAATTGAGCTGTTGGAAAGAAAAACAGTGATTACGTAGATAGAAAATTGGATATACAATATCTTTCATGTATTTCTATTGAAAATGGAAAAAGATATTGTAAAACAGGAAAAAGAAAGGCATGTCATTGGCCTCTAGTAATATCAGGTAATTAAAGACAGAAATGGTGCACGTGAACCTTGCAGAATTTCATTACCATATTCTAGCAGTCACAACTACCAAGCGTGGAAGTTCACTTGGAAGTAAAATATATATACGTGCAAAATAGAAGGGAGACACATCTATCACATATATTGATTATTTCTCATTAAATGATCTAGATCTTTCTCGAAAAAATCTAGCAAGTTCACGGACATTGAAACTGACACTTGCGTTTCTAAGATCCACACATGTTTGCAATGTCAGATTCTGGGAAACAACAAGAACTACTATAAATAGGATTGTTTCGTAGTAAATTTAAGGTACACGTACATGCATATCAATATCAATTCTTGAACCCCATTAAGCGCAATCTTAGATCCTTCAGCAAATTACAGTAGTAATTAGCAATATGGCACCCAATGGAGAGTGTTTGCCTAGTTCATTCTCTAGGAGCAGCAACAACAACATATGCAAACCTCCAAGGCTGTCATCTGATCATATTCAAAGAACAATCTCAGACATCTCGTTTGAGCTAACCAAGGAGGGGATTGATTTGTCACTTCCACCTATAACTGAGGTTATGGATGCCAAGTGTGAGTGCTGTGGAATGTGCGAGGAGTTTACTCCTGAGTACATAGAGCGTGTGCGTGAAAAGTTCTTGGGGAAGTGGGTGTGTGGTTTGTGTGGTGAGGCAGTGAAGGAAGAGTTGGAGAAGAATGGTGGGAAGAAGGAAGAGGCATTGAGTTCACACATGAGTGCATGTGTGAGGTTCAACAAATATGGGAGGGCTTTCCCGGTTCTGTTCCAAGCTGAGGCCATGAAGGAGATGCTCAAAAAGAACAAAATGGAAGGGAGAAGGACCATGTCCTTCAACCCAAGGGAGAAAGGAGGCCAAAACAAAGGAGGGATTGCAAGGAGTTCAAGCTGCATTCCTGCTATCACAAGAGAGATGAATGGTCTCACAATGGCCAATTAATTTGCATCAACTCCTTATTATTACTACTATAACTCTCAGTGTTGATTAATCAATTCTTATATATGTGAGGGGGACATGGTTTTGTATCTCTAATTATTTACCTGATCCCATTATTAATTTTCCTTCTGATTAGTGACTACTCCAAGCTTTAGGGGATGAACATGGCCTTCTGTTTTCATGGAAAATTGAAGCCCAAGTGCCTTGTCATGAGTCCAAGGTTTTTGGGGTATCTCTCGCACCATTCTAGTTTTTGGAAGATGGTCCATCTGACTTCACTTCTTGTCTGTGTTTTTTTTCAACTGCGAGGGTTGTGACTTGTTTTTGGTCAGTGGCTTTTCTTGTTTGAATTATTCATGTAATGTATCCTACTATTTTCAATATCATTCCTGAATAAACTTTACTTGATGCATTAATTTATAGTGGTTGATCACGTGTGTCTGAACACAAGTTATAATTAGTACAGTTTTTTTCTTCTTTGCAAATTTAACGAGATTTCATGTTGCTGAAGTGTACAAACGCCAAACACATATAATTCTGAAGCTTGGAAGTAACTAGACATCGTTAAAAATATGAAAAAGTCAATAGTAAAGATTGAAATATAAAATGAATAAAAACAAAAAAAAATATAACAAAATAATGAATACGATATAATAAAACATTGATGAAGTTTGTATTATATAATCTAACTAAATAATGCTTCACCCCACTTGAAACTACTTCTCATAAAACTTTATTTGTTGATCTAATTGACTTGCCTGATACACTTCAAACATCTATTCTTAGTTCATATAATCATAACCTCTTATATAAATTAATTATGCATCTAATATTTTCAAACAACACTTAAAAAAAAAATATGAACTCATAAATATTTTCACATCACTTTCAACACTCATAATAAATTTTAAGGTAATAGTTTCTTAAAACCTCAAAGTATTAAGTTATAAGTTTTTTTTCTTATTTTTTTTATTAAAAGTGAGATTCAAACTTATACTTAAATTTCTTAACGTATAGTCTACATTGAAAAACACATGTTTCTTTTCAACTAACATGATATTTCGTATTTTTGTCTTGAAACCTAGTTTAAATGAAAAAAAAACCTCTATAAAATAAACTTACATGATTATCAAGATTAATTATTACTAGTGAACCACTAAGGATTTGAAGGTTTATGTTTAATTGAGTAATTTAATAAAATAATATTTTTATAATATAATAAGTATATAATAATTTTATTATTATTAATTAAAAAATAAATATTATTATTATATTTATAAATTATAATAAAAATATAAAATATAAAATATATTAAAAATATAAATGAATAATTGTTAAATTAAAATGAAATATAATAAAATAATTATTATTTAAAATGAATGTAACTAATATAAAATTAAAAAAAATATTTAAAAAATATATATTTTTTATAAAAAAGATTTAATATTTTTTTATCGATAAAAAAACTCTAACTGATATTTTTTCAGTTTTTTTACCATTTCAATTAAAATAAAATTTTAAATCAGTTTTTAATTAAACCGATTCAACCATGTACAATTTTCAAAAGATCTCGTAGTTAGTAAAGTAAAAATTTGACTTTAAACATATTTTTAACGAGAGTTTTTAATTAGAATTGTTTAAAAATAAAATTAAATATATTTATTATCGATCTTACAATTAAATTATTTAAAACATGGTGAAAATTATAATTTTTTAAATTTTTAAATAATTTAATTGTGAAATCCATATAATAAAATATATTTTTTTATTACTAATCAACTCTTCCTAATGGATATCTTACCAGGAGGTAAAGTTTTTGTTTATGCATGTTAAAGTCATTTTCAATCATTTCATTTACATAATAATTAAAAGCCAATGATTGATTTTAATACCAATTAACCTGCGTTGGGTGTGCCTTTAGTTAACCACCAAAATTTTCAGCCGATAATGTGTTTTTTTTTTCTTTCAAAACTTCTTTTTATAATCACCCTTATGTATTATTATATATATACATGATTAATAATTAAAGCAAGGTGTTTTTTTTTCTTCTTAAATTCCAAATTATCATTAAGAAGAGAATTTTGAAGAGAAAGTCACAGAAATATAGAAAAGTGATGGATAAAACTAGTTGGAAGATAAGAAAAAAATATGACACAAGTAAAGAAATTTAAGGTTGAGGAAAAAGAAAGAAAATTGCAGGAGATAATGTGCAGAAGGTTGCACTTTGGCTACCTAAAAGCTTCCACTTCATAGTACTCCTTTCGTCCTCTCCTCCCTTAAAAGCATAACATAACACCTTCCCTCCAATAATGATAGGGTCCAAATATAATAAAATAAAGACATAACATAAAGTAACACAAAAATGCATGCACCCATACCTCATTACCTCCACGTTTTCCTTCTTCTCTCAGTTCCCCTACTATATATATAACCCCATGCCCCTACCATCTTCTCTCAGACCATTTCTTCTCTTCCCCAAATCTCTCTCTAAACCTTTCTCTCAACTCATTTCAATCAAACAAAACCAGATTTCTTATCTTTTACAAATGAAACCTATTGAAATGGAAAGCAAGGCACCCATACTAGCCAAGAAAGTCTGCAACATGGTTCGTGTCATGTTCTTCATGATGAGAAAAGGCATATTCAAGAGCAAACTCATGATGGACCTCGACGTCATGCTCAAACGCCGCGGCAAGCTCGCCGGAAAAGCCATTGCCAACCTAATGTCCCACCACCACCACCACCACCACCACGGCGGCTCCCACCACTCCCACCTTCAATCCTCCGCCCCGAGGGAGTACGAGTTCAGCTGCAGTAACACGCCCAACGCCTTCTCCTTCCCCGCAATAGGGAAGCGCCACCGCCACTTTTTCGCTTGCGTCCACGCGCCTCCCACGCAGGACGACGACGCCGTGACGGTGAACGCGGTGAAGACGGTGTTGGAGATGCTGAACAACGACGTTAAGGTCGAGATGACGTCGTCCCCTGCGCTGCCAGGGTTTGGGCGGAGCCCCATGGTGAGGCAGCTGAGGGTGACGGACTCGCCGTTCCCACTGCGGGATTCCGAGCAAGACAACGACCACCAGGTCGATAAGGCTGCGGAAGAGTTCATTAAGAGGTTTTACAAGGAGTTGAAGAAGCAGGATTAATTAATTAATTACTTGATTAGTTGGTTCAGCTTGTGTTAATTTTCTCTTCTGTCAATAATAAGTGCATCATTGTTGTCCATCATCAATTTTGGATATTTTCATCACATCTATATATATTCCATCCATGGCTTGTGACTTAAATAATATATATGGATGCATGCATGCATGTGTTCAATCTCATCATTGCTCTTAAATACAATAAAAGAGAAAATTACAGAGTGCAATTGTTTCTAGCAAACTATAATCTCAATTTATTTATATAATTTAATTTCTCTTCTTTCTTCACCTCTCATTTTTCTTTTCATTTTCTTTGTGGAAGCTATGAAGGGAGTTGAAGGTGAGGAGATAAGAAAGAAATATAAAACATGTCGTAAAAAATCGAATGAGAATGGAAATCTTAGGAAGAGTACTCTTTGGAAAGATTAAGGAACAAGGTTCTCACGTTATTGTGTTGATTCAACTTATAAAATATACGAATTTTGGTATTAAATATTATGATTTCTGTCAAACTTGGAAACAATTATTGGAATCTCTCTTTGGTATCATTCGTTCGTACTCATAACATGCAATATAAAGATTGTGATGAAAAAAGTAAAGAAAGTTTGATAACAGCTTAATTAGATACTCAGCATTACCTTGCAGCAAGTTAAGATTATTATTTGGTAAGAAATAATTGCATGATGTGTTTGTAGGAAAATGTTGAAAGGTTTTGACCTATAGCATTTGGTTGGTGAGGGTGGTTTGTCTTGAAGTGAAAATAGGGTTTTACAGCAACACTCCCACTTTGTTGTCCTACACTGTCCCCATATAACATCTCCAACTTAAACTATTAACTATGGTTTCTCTTTCTCAACTTTTGCTTTTCTCTTTTTCTCACTTCCTTTAATTTCATCTTTTTTACTTCCATCAAGCTTTCTAAAATACCACTTTTTTTTTTTGCTTGCTTAAGCTGGTTATTGGTTCTGAAAAAGTGTCCACGCCTCCATAGGGCTGCCAAATTGACATTTTTTATGTTCTTATATATAAAATATTATTCAAAAATTATGTTTTTTCATCCACTATATAATAATTTGTTGTTTCTTGCGGGCAAAGATGGAAGTGTGGAAACAAGCGACGCGGTCGTTTTAGCTTTTGCAATCACAATGAAAGGTGGCAGCGCGTAAAGCCAAAAGTTTAGGTGAAGTGTGTGCGCACAAACTATGAAATCATGGATGTGTGGGAGATTGATCTACACACGTGTACATTCTAGAACTCACCATCTCCCTTTTATTTTTATTTTTCTTGCATGTATGTTTCACATGTAGTGTAACAATTAATTGTCACGCCATACTTTTTAACTTTCCTTTTATTCAAGTTAAAATAAAACCTTACTTTCTAGCTGTCTAGCAACAATACTTTGAGCATAAAATGATATGTTATTTCTCTGGTTTTTACTGTTCAGGCCCTGCTTTTTGGTCCAGAATAGCTCCCTTTATTTGCCACCATGAAAAGCATATGAGATATGGAGTTCAAGTTTCAATGGTTGACCCTCACTAAAATTTCATGTCACGAAAATCGATGTAGCCATAAATTCATAATGCATATGTGCACCTTTTTTCTACGACCTTTGGTTTAAGCTAATGTGCAAGTTCTTCTCAAACATGTTTCCATATCAGTTGGCTTTGAGGGAAAAAAAAAAAACTACAAAATAGAGTTTTTAAATTGATTATTTTGTGTCTTTTATCACATAGGTTTAACCAAGATGTCACATATATATATATATAAATGTAAGAACTTTAATATCGGCTGAAAATCGATATAAAAAAAATTGAAGTATAACAATAGTTATAAATAAATAACATGAACAACATATACAAATACTATGTATAGTGTTATTTGTTTTTTATATTTTTTATATAATAGAATAATATTAACATCAATATTAATATATAATATTAAAGACAATTTTTATATTTATTCTTAATAAAATTTATGATATAATCAATAAAAAAATATATTTATCTAGAACAATACCAACCATAAAAAGATTTAAAATGGCAATGGTGTTGGATAAATACTAACAATATTCTAGACAACAAAGAATAACTTTATCTTCAAATGTATTTATGATTTTGGTTTTTGAAATTTAATAATAATTAAATATACTTATTTGTATATTTAAAATTTTATTTTTTCAATTTTCATTTTTTTTCTTTTTTCATATTTATTTATTATTTATGAATATGTTATTATTTTTTTTCAAAAAATAAATTAATGATAAGATTTATTACTGATTATGGTGATTACTTATCATTACACAATAACTTTGTTTTGATAAGAGAGAAAAATTGAAAATAAGAAGTTTTGAAGAAAAAAATAATTTAAAAAAATTAGTTTCAAGGAAAAATATATTTGTAAATGACAAGGGTTGAATTATTTGTACCACACATTTTAATAAAAGATAACAAAATGATAATATAAAAATGACTTTTTAATTGATTATTAATATAAAAAATTCATCAGTTATGATAAAAATGTTAACCGTATTTACATTCACATCAATTCTTATAATCCAAGTAGATAAGGTTTTTTAAAAATTATTTATAAAATTATAAGATTATTCTTAGAGCATTTTCAAGTATGGATTCTTATAAGAACTCACATTGAATTGTTAAGTGAGACCTACCGTTTCATATCATATTTAAGTAAATTTTTTCAAATTTTTATAAATTCACTCCAATAATGGGTTCTTGTAAGTAACTCACTATTCAACTACCACTTTTGATTTATATGAGACTCGCGGTGAATATTCCTCTCTGATTTATTACATTCTCTTATTTGTTGAATTCTGTTGGTGAGAACTGCGGGAACAAATTGAAAAAAATAATGACGTTACTTCTACAAGATACGGTACTTAATTTTTCAAAATTGTTATTCTCATGTCAAATTGCTTCAACGGCAGTTTCTTACAAGCAACTGAGGTCATAAACCATTTCTATCGGAGTTGCTCTTATTTTACAACGAAAAAGACGGAGTAATAGATACAATAATTAGTCCTTAAAATGAGTATACGTGGCTTAATTTCATCCATGTACATAGCAATTATGTGTGCTATGTTTGAAAGAGGACTTATTTTTGTTCTTATTTAATATATGTTACCTTCTTGCATAAGATATTTTGTGTTCCGAAAGCTGAATCTAGCAACTGATAACAATTCAATTATTGGAGTTGAGGTGTATTATTATTCTAATCTATTTTCCCTTCTTAACACTTTGAACGTAAAATGAATACATTCATGCCCTTTTTGTAATAGAATGTTTGTTTTTCCATTGTTTTGTCTTCTATGATTGGAAGTGGTTGATAAGTCGAAATCAATTTAATGTAATATAGGGACATGGATCATGGAGCAACAACAACATTCATGATTTAGTCTTCATGACATTTTTAATTACTTAACGAATGATGATTAAAATCTATGACTTCAGATCATAACCCTGTCCTTTTGTACACCCAGCTTAGACAAATCCTTGTTCCACTTCTCGGTGTGATCCCCTGCTAATATGTCCAAAAGTTATAACTATAGTTTTTGTTTATAATTAATTACTCAATTTTGAATGACAAATTTAAAATATAGCATGGATTTGATTCAATTGTTAATGGAAGAATGTTGCTGATCACAATTGTTAATAAAAAATATAAAAAACAAGTTTAATTCTTAATTAGAGATGGTAAGAAGTTTGTCAAATTTTTCATCATTAATAAAGTTAGAATAATTATGCCCTAAAAGAAAGTCAGACTTTAACCTAGAATAAAAAATAATTAGAACCCACAGTCATTAAATAAAATTTAAAGTAGTAGTAAATTTGGAGTTATATTATTTTTAGAATATTTTTTATGGTGTATTGTATTTAATTATATTATTACATTAATTATTTCATTTTACATTTTTTATTATTTATTTCTATTTTGGAGCAATGTGATTTAATTTGTTGTATAATGGAAAAGGTGGAGCTGCCGCATGCATAGTGGACTTTTGGTTCGATGTGGGACTTTTATCCCCAAAAGTGTGCACAAAATTTACTTATTTGTTCCTTTTTGAGTTTTGGTCAGAGATGGTAATGTAGGGGTAAAGAGGCTAAAAGTGGGGTTAGGAAACGAGGTGGGCCTAGAAAAAAAGAAAAGCTCATTTTCTTTCAAGTTAAGTTTTCTACAATTCTTTCAAAACCACACGCTCTTGCAGCAACTGGTTTAACAAAAAAGGTAAACTGATTTTTTTTTTTAATCAGCTAATTGAATTTTGTTAAATTTAGTTGATGTCTCTTCTATGTCATAATACTGGTTTAAAAACAAGAAAGATGTATGAGTACACAATTATTGAAGTGGAATTGTGGAGCTGTATTAGTTTTTCAAAACAACCCTCTTTATTTCTCCAATACGCCAACAACGTTTACAACACTCACCACTTTTTTTAGGTTTGGTGACCACTTTTTAGATTTCATTCTAGATTCATTTTTTACTGTAATCACACACTTAACCTATAAAATTGCCGCATTGATTTATTTCAATCATTCTTTTCAAAATTATACTGGTCACAAACACCAAAGATATGGATTTTAAACTTAAAAATTTAGTTGTAATTTAATCGTGATTTAATCGAATTTAACTCTATTTAATAAAATAATATTTTTATTATATAATAAGTATATAATAAATCAATTAGTAACAAACTTTTTTATAAAAAAAGAAAAACAATAAAAATTATTATTATAATTACAAGAAATTATAATGAATTTTATAATTATAAAATATATTAAAGAGTGTAAGATAAATAATTTTTAAAATAAGATAAAAATATAATAAAATAATTATTATTTAAGTTGATGTAATTAATAGAAATAAAAAGAAATAAGAAAACTAAAACATATTATATATTTTTATAAAAAAATTATCTTAAAATAAATTCAATTTGACCAAAAGATTCACTCAGTTTTTTTTATTGATTTTATTTCTATTTAATTAAAATGCGATAATTTAAGAACAATAAACTAATTTTTAAATCAATTCTCAATGAAACGGTTGAACCAATCGATCCTATTTTAAAAATAATAATTCCAATATATGAATTTGATTAAAATAATTACAAATTCGGATATTATCGTTAGTATTTTTTTCTTTAAAGAATTAATATCATTATTAGATTTTATTTGATAATATATAAGATAATAAGATTATACTTCAGTCTAAAATTTTAAAATTATATATTTATAGTTTTTTTTTCTATATTATTCTGGATCACGGGATATGGTGTTTTAAGTCTTTTCTCTCTTTTTTATAATCAAATGTTTTTTTTAGGTTTTTTTTTTTTTTTATCTATGGATCCCAATAATATCTTATTTCCTGTACTATCTACACATTGAGCCCATTAAGTATCAATCAAATACATCTTTCCCAAATGAGTTTATCTTAATCCATTTTACTTATTCAGTTGAATCCGAACTTAACCAAACTACACATATATATATATATATATATATATATATATATATATATATATATATTATTAAACTTTACCATTTTTATATAATATAATGAGAGTTGAACTAGCCCAACTTTAGGAGAGAAAAACAAAAAAAAAAGTTAGGCAAGTAAGTATGAATAGTAGGTTTTTGTGCTTCCAAAAGTGCTTTTGCTCAGTTTGAATTTTTTACTCAACAAAACAAAGTTATTGTAAAGCATATATATAATTATCACAAACTGGATCAAAGGATACGAAGAGTGTTAGATTAAGGAAAATAATGTTTGGTTTTAGGATGAAGCTTGCTGGACTTGCAGGTGGCAAATTTCAATCGAGTAGCCGCATTTCAAATTCAGTTTCATCTAAAATACGTTTCTTTTGCTTTTTAATACTTATCAAACTTTTTTCTTTTCTCTATTAAGCCAAATTGTTGGTCATTTCCCATTCATAAAATATTCACTCTAGCTACAATCTAACAAAATAATGCCTATATTTTTATACTACTAATAATAATCAAACAATTTTACCAATGTTTTAAATAACGTTTGTACTGAAAAATCAATTGATCTTTGAAATTATAAGAGTTATAAATAATATATTTTAACAAATATAACATGTTTCGTTATTTGGGTCTTAAAATGGTTAGAGTATAACATATACTTTACTTTTTGAGAGGTGACAGAGCATTCATAAAGGTTTGGATAAAATGAAGCCTTATCCATTTTTCCTCAGAAACACTTTTCTTATCATAAAATAAAGATTCAGAATTGTGTTCAGAATGTAGATTAACTCTTCCTTAAGAATGTGTCTTCGTAGGTTAGTGCCAAACACATCATAATTGTTGATTGAAAAAATGGCTTATCCAATGGGATGCTTAAAAGTACATAATGAAGCCGACGACAAGGCCCACGAACATCTACGTCTCTGTATGAAATTGGAAAAAAGATGCATATTTTCGTTACTTTATTTTGTTCTCTAGTGTTATAATTGCACCCTTTATGACTTGTGATTGTTTCTGTGAACAAAATTAGTAAGTTCACTCTTGTTAACTTGTTTATTTTATCTACACATTCCCTCACCTCTTTATCTTGAAGTTTTTTTTTTCTATTAACATTGTCTTTCATTTATCTTATAAATTAAAGTCTCACATGTAAAAATGAAAAAAAAATTAAACAATATATTAATAATGAAAACTCATAAATCTGATATTTTAGAATGTTGGGTTAAAAGAAATATCACATTTGGCTTGTATCATACTAGTGAATTTTTTCTTATAATTTGTCTCTCGAAATTATTCAACAACACAAAAAGAAACTTGGAAGATAAACAAAAGGGGTGTCAATATCAAGGGCAAGGGGAAATTTTAAGGTTTGGACTCAGTACATGTGAGCCCAGCAGATTATGGGTATGGTCCTCTCTCTCATCGTATGAAAATCTTCAATTTGGATGTGTCGTTTTTAGGTGCTGTTCGATTAGGATTTGTGCGTGAATGGATTTTTTGGCCTAACGGCCTTCGTATCAATTCTATGCAAAAGTCCACTAATATGCGATTATTACAGAAGTGGGAAATAACAAGATTATGTTATAATAAGGGAGGAATATTAGTCATTTACGGTCCAAGGTCATGGTTGTTGAATTTTTCAATACCATCGAGTAAAATTTGATGAACAAAGCATTGTAGGTGCTGCATTTTCCAGCATGGGAAGGGGCGGGTTTTGGCTCTCAATAATCCGTTCCGGAATCTCTCTCCGATTTTTGTTAGATTAAAAATTAAGTATTTATTCTTATTATTATTATTAAGTTTCAGGTACTGAGTTTCAGGTTTGTTGTGTAGGTCTTATTTTCGATCTATATTATTTAAAAAAAATTATATTAATAATAAATTAATTTTATTATATATTTTTTATATATAAATAAATATTTATAATTTTATAATAATTATTAATTAAGTATACATTTTAATTTATTATATTTATATTAAAATATGTTATAAAAAATATTTAATTATTTTATATATAGAGAGAATATTTATAACATTATTATTATTATTATAACACTATTTAAATATTTAAATACTTATAACATTATTATTATAATATTGTATTCAAACATTTAATTATATATATATAAGTTAATTCATTTTTAAGTTGTTGTTTAAAAATATGAAATATATAGTTTATAAGGAAATATTTAATAAGTTAATTCTTATTTAATTAGTTCGAAGTAATAAAAGTTTAAATTATCAATTTCTTTTAATTCTTTAAATATAATTATTTTATTAAGATAAAATTTGATATATGATAAATAAGAATAATAAGATAAAAAAATATGACATAATAAAACCTGATAAATATAAATTATAAATAAAATAATATTAGTTACTATTAAGATTTATGTAAAATATTTAGAAAAAGATAAAGAAGAAAAAAAATTTACTTTGTGTTTATTAAATTGTTTGAAAAGATTAAAAAAATAGATAAATTGATGAGAGAGATTAAGAAAATGTAAATAATAGAAAGGTATTAGAGAATAATATAATAAATTAATTGATATAAAAAATTAAAAAAGATAAAAAAATTAAAAGTAGGTAGAAAAAAAATTGGTGAAATATTAAAAAAATGACCTTATATGTAATAGAAAAAGAAAAAAAATATATTTAAAGTATTAATATTTTAAATTTTAAATTTAAATATAAAGTTGGACGAGGACGGAGTCGGAATTTCGTTACTCATCCATGAACTCGTTCCGGTTTCCGACTTTTTTAAAGCAAGAAAAACCGACCGATAGGGAAACAGATGATTCCACCTGTACAAATTTAATTGGGATCCTACATGTTTATAATGCGGTGGTTAAATAATGCATTGATTAGAAGCGATGTTACACCAAACTTTTGTCACAAGGGAAGTGAACCTGCCTTTTACAATACTTAATTACATGCAAATTTATTTTTAGCAATAATTTATGATTCAAGCTCGTTATATATTAAAGAAGATGTTGTGAATTTTATCGGTAAACAACAGATGATATTGGAAATTCCAAAGTATTGATGTATTTTGCATTTCATAACAAAGACAACTCAAAAATTTTATAGACATAAATCAAAACATGATACACAAGGGTCAGAATCATTGCCAATATGACTTGCATGCCCAGTGAAATAGTTCTTTCCCTACTGTTTTGAAAATTGTCCTTCTTGTTTGGCGGAGAATAGAGGAAAGTCATTGAAATGTAGTCCTCTTTCTCACCTTTATATATTGGCCTTCCAATCACATGCTTGTAGAGTCCATCACTCAACAACTGAAACAAGGCAATGCCAAGCTGGTTAATTGGTAGTTCTTTCCCATCAATTAATTGGTACTACATTCAGGAGGACAACTACAAAAGTTTACTTCTACCCCAAAAAAATAATATACAAAAATTGATCACTGTTTTGTAAATTAATTTCATTTTATTTGTTTCAATAATGTGCAGAAACCAACAAATAACCTGAGTTTGGTCTCCAGCGGTGATTACTAGGGCTCCTTTTTCTGGGAAGAAAGAGAGCCAACCTTTCTTGGAGTAAACTTGAAACTCGGAAGATCCATCACATAGATGCAAGCACAAGCAATGAGAGTAATGGTTTACCCTAATCAACATCTTAATCACATCATACTCTAGAGAGTTGGTAGCATATTGTCCTCCCATGTTATCTGAGCAGTGCTTATGAACAGAACAAAGTGTCCCACGTTGCCAGCGAATCAGGTCAACAGAATAAGCATTTTTTTTGGGACAATCTTCTAACATCACTTGCAAAATTTTGTCGGCCACCTTCTCTATCATAGTGACAAGATTCTCCATCTTTTTACTGAATGTTGAAGAAATCTAAAATCAGACTCGTTTGCATCAACTGTTTTCATACGGGAAATGTTGACAGTGCATGCACTGCCATTGTTTTAAAGAGATAAGATAATTAAATGTTGTGTTGCATAGACAGTCATTCTTGCAGTTGCACGTGTTCTTGAACAATGATCTGATATTTGATGTATAAACTGTGAAACTATTTTGGTCATGTTCAGACTCTTGGGCCAATCATCTCCCCACATCTCAGTTGTGAATGGGTCAGCTCAACTGTTACTTGTTTTGTGTGTAACACGCAACAGGGATTGAATTCCTGCGTCCAAACATATTCAACCGGCACTTCTTTTGTGTAAAGAAACACTCCACGCCACAATCTATTTCTTTTTCTCTTACTTTTTTCAAACTAGACACCCACGTTTCTACACAACAGCTTACTAAAACAATCATTTTGATCCTTCAATTTAATTTGGATCTTAAAAAAAATTCAGGTCATTGGAGTTGTTTGACGTATCTAACTGCATCGCATTAGCATCGCATCGCATGTGCATTCACTCAAATCTGACTCAAACATATGCTTATTATGATATGAGTACAATGCACATGTTTTTTGTATTTTAAATTAACAAATGTGATAAAAAAAAAGGATAGTATATATATATATATTGGAATACCCTGTAACATATTTAATAGGAATTGAAATGAAATGGATGCTAAATTAATTAATTACTTGAAATTGGAATATCCGGCTGGCCAAAGTCGCTCCATTCTGAGGTTGAACTCCTTATTTCTTCCCCACACGAACTCGTCATCTTCCTCGAAACCCCACGGACTCTCCGCCGACCTCGTCGCGCAGCCTCGCTTCTCCGGCGGCACCCGGAAAATTCCGACGGAAGCTTCCGCCGACGAGGCGGTAACGTCCAGTGGAATCCCATGGTTGAGCAGCTGAAAGCATCCGACAGTTGTGAAAGAGTCCGAAACGACGTGACGAACAGCATGGTCGGAAAATAAGGAGGGGAAGTCAACCTTTGGAAGCGGTGTTTGATGGTGGTTGTTAATGTTTGGGAGACGGAGAGAAGTCTCCAAGAATCGGCGGAAAACGTCGTGGTTGGAGAGCGAGGACGAACGCCTGGCAGAGGCCACAGGAGATGGCGGCGGTGCACGGAAATCCATTGAAGCCGACAGAGGAGAGAATGAATCAACTTTTATTCATTCATTCTTCATTCTTCGTTGAGTGTTAGTGTTGTTTTTGTTATGAAAAGAAGAGAAATGACAGATAAGCAGCATTCATATCCATAATTAGCATCTCCCACTTTCCGTTCACTTTACACCCATCATAAACACATTTCCTCTACTAAAAAATTGTTTATATAGTGCTTTCATACTTAATCTTATATCTAAATTCAAACTCAATTTAAATATAGAATTAGTTTTAGAATTAGAATTGAAAATATGATCTGGGACTTTATTAACTGGTACTCGCATATAATCAAAAGTGACAGAACGCACATTGTAAAATTTATGAGTGGCAATAGCATATTTGGGAGTGGCAATAGCAGTTCAATAAAAGCCTTGTATCAGTTGAACAGCCCAATAAAAACATGCTGAGAACAGGCCATTTTGGTCTACGGGCTTTGAATTTAATTCATTTTTTCCAATATTCAACTGCACAATCGATTGTAAACTAGTTTAAATCCGTTTAAAAATATATTTTGTTTTGTTTGGAGATATCAAATGGCAATAAATAAATAAACAAATAAAGTGTGAATCAAGATTGATCCTATTCAATTATTTAGTTCTAATTAATGCACACGAGATACAGAAATACAGAAAAGTATGGTGATGAATAAAAGTTTTATTTCAAACCATCACCCTGAGTCGGGAGAAAAAATGTGTGGAAACTTTTGACGAAATGGTTGTGGAGAATTATGAAATGGAACGTGGAAGTTGAATATTTGTTAGTAATAAGTTGGAAAACTATGCCTATGCCTGTTTACGTTTCGTTCTCCATCATGCCACTAAGCACTGCCATGTCAAATGATTTCCAAGGATGAAGAAAGTTATGATTCACACAATCTACTTTTTCTCATCTCATATGTCACTCACGTGTTAATTAATATTCATATAAAAATGCTTCGCACCCAAATCCACTATGTATAAATATATTTTGTTAATGTATTCTAGTTAATCATATATTTAAATTATAATTAATTTTTTAAATATATGTATGATATTATTTTGTTAATATATTTTAGGTAATTATATATTTAAATTATAATTAGTTTCTTAGATATATGTATGATATTATTAGTTACCTAATTAGTTTTTTAAAATTATAACTTATACATTATATTTATTTTAAATCAGTGAAGGAGATCAATCGAAGAAATATTCTTTTTATGATATCATATTTTTAGGGCAATTACACTTTTTCTTCTTTCTTCTCACCGTCGTGACAAACAACTAAGAGTTCTTTCCTTTCGGCTTTTGCGGTTTCCAATATACGAACTCATATTTCCATTACTCTTGAAATGGAGAATGTTCAATACTTTACATGGGCACAACTTTTTAAAATTACCGCACCTTCTCATAAGGTCCCTTTATCATATTATTCCTCCTCCCGCTAATGGCAAAGAGAAGGTACCTAAGGATGAAAAGGAATTATGATCGATTCTTGATGCAAAAGTTCTTTCCTGATTTTATGCAACCATTTTTAATGACTTGTTGCATACAATTATGAACCCAATGTCACGATCATAGATGCTTGGAATAAGTTGAGAGATATTTTTCAAGATAACAAACATTCCCGTGTGGTAACTTTTGAGGCCAAATTCTCCACTACTAAAATTGAGAATTTTCCGAATATTTCGGCATATTGTCAACGTCTCAAGTCCCTTGCTGATCTTGAAACTCGTTGTTCAACTTGTTTCGAGTCTCACAAGTGCATATCGCGGTGTAGAGACATTAATTCGACAGAGTGATCCCTTACCTCCGTTTTATCAGGCTCGATCGATGCTCACACTTGAGGAAGTCGAATTAGCAAAGGAGGTTACCACTGGATCGGAGTTGGCAATGATGGTTATCTTTCAATCCGTTTATGACTTAAATTCCTCAGATTTAGACCAACTACATCACCAGCAACACCATGGGAAGCCAGATATCGCAAGAATTCTTGAAAAAAACTCTTGTGCCGGTGGTCGCGGGTCTAACAGTGGCAAATCCGACCGTACAGGGGGGCGGCAGTGGTGGTCCGCAACACTTTGGTGAAAGTCCACATCAGCAGCTACAGTGGGGTCTTTACCTTGGCCGAATTACCCACCTTGGGGTTGGATGCCTCAATGGGCTCCTCCATGCCCATATCCAAACTAGGGGTGGGCACGGGGTCCAACACCACAAAGACAGCAATAACAGCCCGACATTCTTGGGTCATGTCCACAACAGGTTTACATGGCCTCTGAGAATGGGCAGTCCACTTCTGATGTTCCTACAAATATTGATGCATACTATGTCTCTGAGTCCCCTTGATCCATCATGGTACATGGACATCATAGCTACCTCTCACATAACATCTTCCAATGCCCGTCTTGTAGGTGATGGGAAAACTCAGTAAGTTGGCATTAATTGTGGCGAAACTTTTAGCCCAGTAGTGAAACCGGTTACAATTCGCACTATTTTTTCTATTTATCTTTCAAAGACATGGATCATACATCAGTTGGATGTTAAAAATACTTTTCTTCATGATGAGCTACAAGAAACCGTTTATATGCATCAATAGTATCGTGATCGTACTCATCCAGATTATATATGTCGTTTAAGTCATTATATGGGCTTAAAAAAGCACTCCGTGCTTGATATAAGTAGTTTGATGATTATGTTATGTCTCTTAGTTTCTCAAATAGCAAATATGACCACTCATTATTTATTTATCGAAAGGGTTCGCACGTGGCTTATATCTTGTTCTATGTTGATGACATTATTCTTACTGCCTCTTCTTATGCTCTCCGATTATATATTATAAATCTTCTGAGCTCGGAATTTGTTACGAAGGATCTTGATCATTTGAACTTTTTTTTGTCATTGTAGTGACCCGGCATAAGGGTGGTATGTTCCTTTCACAGCACAAATATGCCGAAGCAATTATTGACGGGGCTGGTATGTTTTCTTGCAAGTCGTATCCAACACCGGTTGAGACCAGTGCTAAGGTGTGCTTATATATGCATGATTCGATGGTGGACAATATGCAAGTTCTCAAACGCAAAATTCACTATTTACAAGATACACTTGATTTTGGTCTTCATCTCAATTCATCTTTGACCTCATCTCTTATTTCTTACACTAACGGTGGGTGCCCTAATATGAGACGTTCTACCTCGTGTTATTGTGCGTTTTTGGGTGACCACTTGGTGTCATAGTCCTCCAAGCGTCAATATACATTCTTTTGGTCTAGTAGAGAGGTCGAGTATAGGGGTGTTGCTAATGTGATTTCTGAGTTGTATTGACTTTAAAATTTGTTATTAGAATTGCATTGTTCGGTTATCAATGCTACTCTTGTGTATTGTGACAATATTAGTGCTATCTATTTGTCGGACAACCCGGTGCAACATCAGTTGGGTCTTTCGAGGGGGATTCACTGGGAAGAACAACATCAATGAGATATGAGTCCAACTCATATAAGGGATTGACACAATTATCAACTCAAAACCTTACAGCATTAACATACCAAATATATTGAGATGGAGATATGTTTTGTACGGGAAAAGGTTACACGTGATTAGGTTCGAGATCTTCATGTGACTTCACGATATCAAATCGTGAACATTTTTACGAAAAAACTTCCGCGTGTGTTGTTTGATGATTTTAAGGACAACCTCAGTATATGTCATTCGAATTCTCGTACTTTAACTATAAAATTGTGTTAAAATATATGTAAATATATTTTATTATTATATTTTAAATAAACATATATTTAATTTATAATTAGTTTCTTAAATATATATATATATATATATATATATATTATTAATTACTTAATTAATTTTCTAAAATTATAACTTATAAATATTATATTTATTTCAAGTCAGTTAATAAGATCAATAGAGTAAAATGTTTTTTTACCAACTAATACATCAAATATATCAAACGTTATATATATATATATATATATATATATATATATATATATATATATATATAAGTCTTTGGTTTTTCTTTATATTCATTTTATTATTTATTTATTTTTTATTATTTCATATATTAAGCATCGACAAAATTTCGTAAACCTTATTCACTTTTCATCGAATGACCTAAAAAAACTCAAACGTCATTCTTAGATCAGATAATACCAAATATATATAAAAAATCTTAAATATATAACCTGTTTGTCATTGATCCACCCTCTAATAAACTGATTTCTTATTATATTTAATTAACTTTGTTGAAAATGATGAAGGAAAAACCCTACAACACTACAAGAAGGCTTCTGTGTGCTGGTCAAATGACCAATTAATGCGAGAGAAGTATTTTTATTGAGATAATAAATTATGATTTAAAATATTTACTGGGAAGAATGAATCAATGAAGTTGTGTGTGCCTGCATCTGAGCGTAAGAGACAGATGAAAGCGCGTGAATGATGGATGAATCATGAGCATGGCCATGTACGTACATATACATACATACAATATTCTACATTAATTTATATTAAAAGAATGGTGCTTGCAATTATATATATATCTTTCTAACAACTAAATTTTCTCTTTACTAAACCATGTTCATTTAAATATAATAATCCTAAAATTTTATGATTTTTAAGAATTAATAAAAATGCTAAAGAATGAATTTTAAATAATATGTTATTATCTGTTTGCACTTCTATAACAATACAAAACATTAAAATAAAATTTACACCATCAATGTTTGCTTTTGATTGACACAGTCTAAAGAGGGAAGAAACCAGGTCAATTTCCTTAAATTTAACAAATGTTTTTGTCTTTTCATACTTTTTTTCATTTTAAAGTATAAAACAAAGTGGGTTGATATGTTGACATGATTAATCCAAATTAATTTTGATTAGTCCAATTAGAATTAAAGTATTGGGTTAGGGAGTTCTCAACTTTGATTAACTCGACCAATATATTATATTATTGAAACATGTATTTTTTTTATGATGGTTGAATTTAGATAGTTGAACTTATATTTTAAATAATTTGGTGTTATATTGTTTTTTATTTATTTTTTAATATATAATTATTTTAATCACTTAATCCAACTTATTTTTTCAAAAACAATTTTTTATCGTCTCATTTATCAATGATGTCTTTATATTTTTGTTATTATATGATATTCATTATTAAAATTATTAACGTATTTAAGAGTCGAATATGCTAATTTAATAAATATAAAAATTAAAATTATGATGAATTAAAATTTTAAAGTGGACTTAGATATGCTAATTTAATAAAAATAAAAAAAACATATTCTCGAGACAAACTAAGAAAATCTATTTGAATTGGTTAAATAAAGTAAGTAGGTAATGAAAAAGCAAAACATTCCATGCTTTCATTCTATTACGTATTTTCCTTTATAAACATCGTCTCTTTCCACAGAAAAACAACATATACGTATAAAACTTACTAGGATACTTTTAAGTAACGTGGAAGTTATGTAATAACGTACACGTAATGCTTTGAGAAAAAAATAATAATAATAAAACCAACGAATATCAAGAAGATAATAGGAATAATTGTTTACTATAAACGATGGTCAATTATATTCACATCGATTGAAATTCGATAAAATTATACTTTTTATTCTTAACATTACATGGATAATGGCTGAATTTCGTAAAAGAACGTATACAAATATAGCATTATTATATTTTATCTCAAATTCATATTCTTTTTTTCTTCACCAAAAACAACTGTTAAAATAATCCCAAGTAATAAAAAGATTTTAATGTATTTTTCTTTTTATATTATGTTCTCTGCAGAGAAAATCCGACAAGGGCATAATAACTAAGTCAAACTTAGGTTACGTGAAGATAAACTCAAACTTCATTGTATTTTCTATTTGGTGAAAAGATGAGTGACATAAAATAGTGAATGTTTCTGAAATACTCTATATATTGAATTATTCAGTTTATAACTAATCAACTTTTTGGCTTATGCTTCTGATCCTATTTGCATCTGATCTGACCAGGTCCTCCAATGCCATTTAGAGTCTTAAACAAATGAGAATAGAAGGAAAAAATCACTGGTTCCATCACCACTCTCTGTATTTCATGATTTTTTATACAATGCTTTGTTATCTAATGAGAGGTTGATCCCAATACTATTATACTTGACCAAATTATTAGTCAAAGTTTCGTTCCATTTTATTTTTTATTGTAACTAGAACTACTCAGCAAAGCAATACTAACTTCATAAACCAGGTTTCATAGTTTTTAATTTTCCAAATTTTCTTTTGATATTATTGGAAGAATATATTCTACGTGTTTTTCATATTAATGCATTTTCCAGAAAAAAAAAAAAGTTTGAATGAAGCCTCTCTTGCATTTAGCCCACTACGCACATAATAAAAAATTATTAATTAGTTAGTCATCGAGTGTTTGGTTTGAACAAAGGATTAAGACTAACGACAATTCTGCCACCAAACCACTCTCTTGGTGCCCTCTCTCTCTCTCTCTCTCATTCTCTCACTCATGATCATTATATGCATCATACAGTTTCCAATATTAGACTATATATAACACTTTCTTCCTATCAGAAAGCCCGTTCACTTCAGTTTCCAAATCTTCTCTCGTGAGTGGAAAACATGTAAAGGAGGGAAAGATATGCACAAAATAGTAACATTTAGACTAAAAAAATGAAGGGGTCAGCGGTAACTTTCTAGTTTCAACCCCCCAACAACCAAACTTTTCTTGTTGAGCAGAGAATTTGCTTTTGGCCCTTTTGCTGTTCTTTAATCCAATACATTCAAGTAAGTACTATTTTTGCACTTGACAGTTTTCCCTAATCTTTTATGTTTGATTCATTTGAAATATGGACAAGAAACTTAGTTAGTGATATGAAGCAAACTAGTATTCTCATCTAGATTAATTAGTGGTGTGCTTGGTTGCACGTTTCGGACGTGGTTTTATAGAGTTTTAGATGTAATTTGAAGAATTTATGGTTATGGCTAGCTTTCACGTCTCAAACATGATATAGAAACATCCTTGTTTTAAATTGTTGTGATGTCATGTTTGAAATCACAAATGCAGAAGAAAGAGAGATAGAGAGATAAAATGGAGGGTGGGAATTTAAGCAGAAGCATAAGCAGGAGCTTAAGCAGGTCAAGTTGGAGAATGGAGGGTGTGTTTGCGAGTGGGAGATATTCTCGAAGGACTTCAAACATTGATGAGGATGAAGAGGCTCTCAAGTGGGCAGCCATAGAGAGATTGCCAACCTATGACAGGTTAAGAACAAGTATCCTCCAAACTTTTGCAGAGGGTGATCATGCTCATCCAAACACATTGCAACACAGGGAAGTGGATGTTAGAAAGTTAGATGTCAACGAAAGGCAAGAGTTTATTGACAGAATCTTCAAGGTTGCTGAAGAAGACAATGAAAAGTACTTGCGCAAGTTCAGAAACAGACTTGAAAAGTGAGTTCTCTATCTTTCATCTACACCTTCTGAACCACAATCTAAGAAATTTCGGATTCATATTTTGTTTTAGCATACTTTTATTTTCATGGTAAAACTCTGTTTTTACTTAGTGTTCAATATCTCTTATATATATTTTTCTCAATCTGAGTAATATATATAAATATATTATTGAAGTTTTGTCTTCAAAATTGTATATTCAGGGAACTTTTCATGAAAGAATTTGCTTTCTTCCACTTACTTCTGACTTACTCAATTATGAATTGAGTGGACATTTTCTTTTCCCATGTAATGAGTATTGAATTCTGTCATATTTTAGAAGAAACAAAAATGAAGGTTTGTTTATGTGATACAGCTTTGACTTCGTTTGAGGCCGGCCAGTTAAGTTACAAGAAATGTTTTTTATTAAGCGTGCACATGAAGTAACTATTCGTTTCTCATATTAAACTCGGTGTCTTTGTCTTTTATCAAAACGAACATTAAGAAAATGATAAAAGATCAAATTCAAAATCAGAGTCTGATATTAAGGAGATGGGGATTAGTAACCCATCAGAGAAATATTCCAAATGCATTATTGAAGAGAGAGGGGGAGGGGGGAATGAATCTTGAACAATAGTGAGTAAAGGGATTAATAAAGAACTATTTCATGTGATTGAAATATTTTGCCTTTTCCCTCTTGCTTCTAAGATTGTTTATTGTCTCACTACATCAAATTATTTGTGGTGATAAGAGGGGATAAAGAAGGTGAAGGGTGTGAATATCTGAAAGGATAAGTTACCTTGTGCCGTAGAAATAGAAAATGTCCCGTTTATAGTAATCAAATACAGGTGAATACAATGTTTAAGGGCTCCTTTTTTCTCCCCTTATATTTTCATGTTCACTTTTTCAGCTTGGTATGTATAGTCACAAGTGAAGATAAAAGGTTCTTCTCTTTGTGTGCAGGGGAGGGGAATTTTAGAACTAAAATTTGAAACTTAGTGAATCAAGATAATGCTTTCGTGTGTGAAGTGAAATGAAATTGCAGAGGATAGTGGTGGGAGAAACTTGTGCAATAAACTATTCTGTGGAGAAATCATTTCTCCTAAATGATGTCACGCTCACACATGCTTATAGACACGCTCTTCTCTTACAAATTGTTCCAATTGCAGGGTTGGTGTCGGACTCCCAACAGTAGAAGTGAGGTTTCAAAATTTGACAGTTGAAGCTGATTCCTACGTTGGCAGCAGAGCTCTGCCAACCCTACCAAACGTTGCATTGAATATTGCTGAATCAGCTCTTGGCTTATTTGGGATTAATACCGCAAAGAGAACAAAGCTCACAATTCTTAAAAATGTCTCCGGCATTATTAAACCTTCTAGGTACCATCCTCAGATTTTCATCATTAATTTGTTTGGACCTACCTGACTAAAGTATTTGAAGGCTAGTTCACCTAGGTTTATTTGTTCATTATAATAATTTGATTTGGTGTAATGTAACCATTCTTATTGCTCTACATAGGATGGCCCTTTTGCTTGGTCCCCCTTCTTCAGGGAAAACGACCCTTTTGCTAGCATTGGCTGGAAAATTGGACAATGATTTGAGGGTAGATTCCAGCCCTTTCATTTTCTTGACTAAGCTGAAATAGGAAAGAAAATCAAAATGTTTACTCTTTCTAATTTCTAATCTTCAACCACGTGGAGTTGAATAACATTGGCGATGGTGCATAAGAATTGTAAGACTTTTGTTTGAATGAAACAGGTAAGAGGAGAAATCTCCTACAACGGGTACAAGCTTAATGAGTTTGTTCCCAGAAAGACTTCAGCCTACATTAGCCAAAATGATGTTCATATTGGAGAAATGACAGTAAAAGAAACCCTTGATTTCTCAGCTAGATGTCAAGGAGTTGGAACACGATATGGTAATTAATTTAATCACAAATTTACTGTAAAACCCTTAACTATTTTCTTTAACACAATGGAGAAACTTATTTGACTAATATGTTATCGTAGACCTATTAGCTGAACTTGCTCGAAGGGAAAAAGAAGCTGGAATATTTCCAGAGGCAGAACTTGACCTTTTCATGAAGGTATTATGATGTCCCTAAGACTAAATAACCCATAACTTTCACAGGCTTGTTATTTTTATTGAATAGTTTTCAAATTTTCAACAACTTTAGGCTACTGCAATGGAAGGAACAGAAAGCAGTCTCATTACAGACTATACTCTCAAGGTAAGTGATTTCTCTTACTCAACCTATATTATGTTTAAGGTTAGGGAGAGAAGGAAAAATGACGCATATGGTTCAATTCAAGTTCACCTTGACAACACAGATTAGAGTCCAAGATTATCCATTCCCAACTCCAAAAGTCCAAACCATGATCTCACAACTTAGCTATCTATCTTCTCAATCAGTAATGGTCATAATGCCATAAAAAAATAACTTTCTTACTTTTTGATGTATGAATAGATATTGGGGCTTGACATTTGCAAAGATACCATTGTGGGTGATGAAATGCACAGAGGGGTATCAGGTGGCCAAAAGAAGCGTGTAACGACAGGTGATAACCATTAACAAACATTATCTTTATGTTTGAATAGGCAAATAGTTTAATGAACTCATTCTAAGGTGACAGAAACTTGCTTATCCAATAAAAAATTCGCAGCAAGGTTAAGATATAGCCAGAAGCACACTAGGAATGGTTTACTAATTCAAAGTGACAGTGATACATTAATTGATTTTTCAGTGACACGATGGTCTTGATGTTCATTTGTTTTGACTTGGGTTTGGTAATATTGAAGGAGAAATGATCGTGGGGCCCACTAAAACATTGTTCATGGATGAGATATCAACTGGTCTTGATAGCTCCACGACGTATCAAATAGTAAAATGCTTCCAACAAATTGTGCACCTGACGGAAGCAACCATATTCATGTCCCTACTCCAACCTGCTCCAGAGACGTTCGATCTCTTCGATGATATCATCTTGATATCGGAGGGTCAGATTGTTTATGAGGGCCCACGTGAGCACATCATGGAGTTCTTTGAATCCTGTGGATTTAGATGTCCTGAAAGAAAGGGAACCGCAGATTTCTTACAGGAGGTATCCTTACTAATCACCTTTTCCTTTTCAATTACTACAAAACAAAAAATAACAATTAAACCAAAAATGCTAATAATATTTTTTTATAATAAAAAAATATATTAGCACAAATGGAAGAGGAAACTATTTGATTTAACTTGTATCATTTATAGTGCAGAAATTAGATTTTAATATAAGGTTGTTTTTAACTATTGACATATTTTGTTAAATATATTATTAAAATTTAATTTTTATCAATTCTTACTTATTTCAAATTTCAAAACATAAAAGAGAAATTAAATGACACTTGTTAATTTGGTATAGGTTACTTCAAGGAAGGACCAAGAACAATATTGGAAAGATAGAAGCATACCATACCATTACATTACAGTGAGCGAGTTTGCAAGTAGATTCAAGCAATTCCATGTTGGAATGCAACTTGAGAATGAACTTTCTGTGCCATTTGACAAATCAAAGGGACATAGAGCATCTCTTGTCTTCAAGAAATATACAGTGCCCACAATGGGACTTCTTAAAGCATGCTGGGATAAGGAATGGCTTTTAATCAAAAGGAACTCCTTTGTCTACATATTTAAGACAACTCAGATAATCATTATTGGTATCATAGCTGCAACTGTGTTCTTTAGGACCAAAATGCATCAAAGGAATGAGGCTGATGCAGCAGTTTACATAGGTTCAATTTTGTTTACCATGATCATGAACATGTTTAATGGTTTTTCTGAATTACCACTCACCATTGCAAGACTTCCTGTATTCTACAAGCATAGAGACCACCTTTTCCATCCTCCTTGGACTTATACCCTCCCTAATTTCTTACTAAGAATCCCCATTTCTATCTTTGAGGCTATTGTTTGGGTTCTTCTCACATACTATACAATAGGATTTGCACCTGAAGCTAGCAGGTAACCTTAATTATCTTTTTTCCTTCATGTTTTCATCCACACTTGTTTATATGTTTTAAGGCCTATCAATGATACAAATTTGATCAAAAAGTTGAGCAAACTGTGATTACATTCTTGGTGGCAAAAACTAAATACCAGTACTAAGTGGTCGCATTTGGGCCTTGTCCAACTTTCAGGTTCTTCAAGCACTTGTTGTTAGTTTTTCTCGTCCAACAAATGGCAGCTGGGATGTTTAGGCTCATATCTGGAGTTTGTAGGACAATGATCATTGCTAACACTGGTGGAGCCCTCATGCTGCTTCTTGTTTTTCTACTTGGAGGTTTTATCCTTCCTAAGCGTAAGTGACTAAATACACTTCAATCATGTATTTTTTTTTTTTTTCAAATATTGTGCTCACCTTGATGTTTAAACCTCTTAATGTTAACAGGTGACATTCGAGATTGGTGGATATGGGGTTATTGGATTTCACCATTGACATATGCGTACAATGCTTTTACTGTGAACGAATTATTTGCTCCAAGGTGGAGCAAACCTGTAAGTAGCATAAATTTTCAATGGTAAATGAAAGTGTTGATTCAATGGCTTCACTTTGATATTATTTTTCACTTGAATTTTCCTATTTTGTAGTCTTCAGATGGTATAACCCCTATCGGGATAGCTACATTGAATAACTTTGACATTTTCGCTGAGAAAAAATGGTACTGGATAGGTGTAGCTACTCTTTTGGGTTTCACTGTTCTGTACAATGTCCTCTTCACCTTTGCACTCATGTACCTTAATCGTAAGAACTCATATTCTAATAAAAATTTCAATGAATTACTTCCTTCACTGGCTGTTTAGTGTTAATAATGCATTTTTTGTATCTTCTATAATTTGGTTCACTAGCTATTGGAAAAAAACAAGCAATTATATCTGAAGAAGAAGCAAGCGAAATGGAAACTGGAGGAAACTCTAGGGAAGAGCCTAGACTTGTAAGGCCAGAGCCCAACAGAGACATAGGCCTTCAGCCATTATCTTCTGCTGATGGAAACAACAAACGTAACTATCAAACTAGATAACTTTGGATATAGAAGGATTTAGCTTAAGTGTGCCTTTAGTTAATATGGCTCATGAAGTTTCTACGTAAATAATTTCAGGAGAAGTGGCAATGCAACAAATGAGTAGCCGAGGTCATCCTAGTGGAATGAGAAATGTTGATTCAATGCGTGACTCATCCATTGGAGTTTCCCCAAAGAAAGGAATGGTTCTACCTTTTCAACCACTTGCAATGTCTTTTGATAGTGTTAATTATTATGTGGACATGCCTGCTGTAAGAACCCTATCACCCTTTTCACATATAACTTCATATCATTCATAAGTAATGGTAAATATAAAGGAAACACTAACTTCTAACAGGAAATGAAAGAGCAAGGAGTGACCGATGATAGACTACAGTTACTTAGGGAAGTAACTGGTGCCTTCAGGCCTGGAGTTTTAACTGCTCTAATGGGAGTTAGTGGAGCAGGAAAGACAACTTTGATGGATGTTTTAGCTGGGAGAAAGACAGGTGGGTACATTGAAGGAGATGTTAGAATATCTGGCTTCCCCAAGAATCAAGAAACATTTGCAAGAATTTCTGGCTATTGTGAGCAGACTGATATCCATTCACCCCAAGTCACTATTCGAGAATCTTTGATATACTCTGCTTTCCTTCGGTTACCTAGAGAAGTCAATAAAGAGGAGAAAATGGTTAGCACTTAACATTATATTTTTTTATCTGTTTTCTACGAAGTTGCATTAAAAAAATGAATCTTACCTTCCTTTTTCCTACACTTTGTAGAAATTTGTTGATGAAGTAATGGAGTTGGTCGAACTAGACAATCTCAAGGATGCTATAGTTGGGCTTCCAGGTGTTACGGGGTTGTCGACCGAACAAAGAAAAAGGCTAACAATTGCTGTTGAACTTGTTGCAAATCCTTCAATCATTTTCATGGATGAACCCACTTCAGGTCTTGATGCAAGAGCAGCAGCCATCGTGATGAGGACTGTGAGAAACACTGTTGACACTGGAAGAACAGTTGTATGCACAATTCACCAACCTAGTATCGATATCTTTGAAGCCTTTGACGAGGTACCAACAAACTAATTTTAATCTGTGTCATACGTGTTTTTCTCTCTCTATCTTCATTACTCTTTGGTTGATAAATACTTCCTTTTGCACCAGTTGTTGTTAATGAAGAGAGGAGGGCAAGTGATCTATTCAGGACCATTAGGAAGGAACTCACACAAGATTATAGAATATTTTGAGGTATTACAAAAAAATAATTATGAATATTTTTATCAAACCATGTAACATGGGATTCAAGTTTAACTTCTAATTCTATGTTCATTCCTGGATCAGGCAATCCCGGGGGTCCCAAAAATAAAGGATAAGTACAACCCAGCTACATGGATGTTAGAGGTAAGCTCTATAGCAGCTGAAGTTCGACTTGGAATGGATTTTGCTGAGTACTACAACTCATCATCTTTATACCAGTAAGTCTACAAAAATCTAGGATACTAATGTTGTCGAGTGAGTTTTGTTTAAGCTAACATGTATGCATACTTATGACTAGGCGAAACAAAGCTCTTATAAGGGAGTTAGGTACACCTCCTCCAGGAGCAAAAGATTTGTACTTCCCCACTCAGTATTCTCAATCCACTTGGGAGCAATTCAAATCTTGTTTATGGAAGCAATGGTTGACTTATTGGAGAAGTCCAGATTACAACCTTGTCAGATTTTTCTTCACATTAGCTGTAGCTCTCGTGGTGGGGACAGTATTTTGGAGGGTTGGCAAAAAAAGGTCTAAAGTTGTTACCTTAACCGAGTAGACATCTAATTTTATTCTCTAAACATTTTGTTGTTACAACTATTTTTTTCATTCATATTTTGCAGGGGAAGTTCAAGCGATTTGAATACTGTTATAGGAGCTCTATATGGATCTATATTTTTTGTTGGTGTTAACAATTGTCAAACTGTTCAACCAGTAGTGGCCGTTGAAAGAACAGTGTTTTATCGAGAAAGAGCTGCTGGAATGTATTCTGCTTTGCCTTATGCCATTGCACAGGTTAAAGGATACATATTTTTTTAAAACAATTTTAAAATTTTCTGCATCTTGTACATGTTGCTTATTATGCTGCCATTGTCGTTTCTGCAGGTTGTTTCTGAAATACCATATGTATTTGTTCAAACTATTTATTTTGCATTCATAGTGTATGCTATGGTGAGCTTTGAATGGAAAGTGGCAAAGGTCCTTTGGTTTTTGTTTGTTAGTTTTTTCTCCTTCTTGTACTTCACATATTATGGGATGATGACTGTTTCCATTACACCAAACCACCAAGTGGCATCAATCTTTGGAGCAGCATTCTATGGACTCTTCAATCTCTTTTCTGGTTTCTTTATCCCAAGACCAGTAAGTACCGTTCTAGTTTGGTTATTGTAGATCAATACTCTTATCATTTTCACTAACACAATTGCTCCATCAACCTTGGCATTTCAGAAAATCCCAAAATGGTGGGTTTGGTATTATTGGATTTGCCCAGTAGCATGGACAGTGTATGGGTTGATTGTCTCACAATATAGAGATGTAGAGGTAGACATTTTTGTGCCTGGTGAGAAAAATCAAACTATCAAGCACTATATTGAAGACCATTACGGGTTTAAACCGGACTTCATGGGACCAGTTGCCATTGTTTTGGTCGTTTTTCCAGTCTTCTTTGCCTTTGTATTTGCCTTCTCCATCAAAACACTAAACTTCCAAACCAGATGAAAACAATTAATTAGTGAGTAAGGAAGCAAGTTATACTCTTGCAAGTTTTACTATTGAATTTACCTTATGTATGAGATAGCAAAATTTATACTCAAAATTTGAAAACCATGATAACCTTTTAGGTTGTTTATTCGGTAAATATGAATTATATTGATTGTGTAATTTTTTTACTATTGTAATATAAATTATGCTGTCAACTTTTTGCAACAGGTATTATTATTATTATTATTTTACTTTCTTCCCTCTTAAAAAAACTATCTTTACTTATTATTTTATAACTATTGTCTCCCAATTAAACTATTAGTAACAAGTTTAGGTTGGATCAAATATAATATGTACAAATATTAGAAAGAGGGTCATAGTATGATGTTTATTTTTAGTATACTATGGTTTTGGTTATTTCTGTCAAGGTTGTAAAGGATCAACACAAAAAGGCCCAAAAACCCAACAATTTTTATAATACTTTTTTTTCTAGGGTTTATATATTTAATTTATTTATATACAAATAAGTTTTTCTCCTTAAAATATTAATAAATTGGTAGTGGCAAAATTGTATTGTATATAGAAATTGAATTTTGTTTTTCTTGGATCCAATGAGTAAAAAATTAATTAAGGTAAAATTAATATTTTTGGAAAGAGAGAAGGAAGAAGGAAAGTGGTATTGAATTGAATGATTATTACACAAAAGCGTGTGGGACCGCACGTGGCAGGTTGATGGTCCTCCTTTCTTTTCTGACCTTGTTTTAAAGGACGCGGCGACATGAGTGTGGTTTTTCCTACCCCAAAACTATTAACTGCTTTTTAACAGTTTTAAAATTATTTACAGTCAATAAGATTAATAAATCAAAAATAAAATTAATTAAAATTTAAATTTTTATTTTATAGATGGAAAAAATAATAAAAAAATCACTGTACTCTGGCTTTTATCTTCAATTAATTAAAAAATTAATTTAAATATGTTTATTATACATTATTAGCAGTTATAGATAATCATAATAATAAAAGTTATATTTATCACTTAAATCACTATTTTATAGTCCTCTTGTTTGATTGAAAAAAAAATATATAAAAAATAGAGAAATGGTGTACTTCATCGAAAGGTGTGTCAACGTTCAAAGAGAAGAAGGAGACTTTCAAATTAGTAAGAACCCATTTGCATATTCTTTTCCTCCTCTTTTATACTCTCTAAGGAAGTAAGGTATATCTGGGTGCTGTAAACTTTAGGATTTTTTGTTTTCAATTTTTTTAATATAAAAAATTATCTAATACACCATAGTACCACATCTAAGACATATGTAAAGAGAATTATTATTAAGAATTATTTAAAAAAAATAATATTTTATTACAGGTTTTATATTTTAATTATTTAAAATTAAAAATTTATTTAAAATTAAAAAATATTTATATAAATAATTTTATTAAATTTTAAATCATTCAATAAAAAAATTTATAATAAAATATTTAATTTTATCCTTAAATAATTTTATTAAAAAACTTTTTTTAAATTTGTTACAAGTATAAGATCAAAATTTATATTTTTTTCTAAAAGAATTTATACCTTAATAAAAATTATGCATAAAAAAATATTTTATATATATATTAATAATAAAAAATTTATGTTTTTTTATATCCAACGTTAACTCACAACATTTAAAAAAGTGGTTGACACAGGGACGAAATAGACATGACGCCACATGCTACAATTCCGTATCCACCTAGTAATTTCCGTCTTCTTTATGATTTTTTTTATATAAATTTTTCTTATTTCCTTTCATTTTAAATAATAATAAAAAACTATCTCAATAATTTTTTACAAAATTTATTCAAAAAAAAAAAAGGTCTAAGTAACTTGTGGGCGTAATATATTTATTAGGGATATTTTTTTTAATTTGTTTTATATCCTTTTAAAAAGAAGGAGAAAGAAGAAACCTGCGTTGGTAAGTCTTGTTTGGTGTATCCTTCTTGGAATTATCGCATTACTTAAAGCAAGAGCGAATAGGGTTGGTAAACGCGCGTTGGGGTGATGCCTTGAATGCTTGGTGCATGTGTGACTAAATGGCTTGAGGATTTGGTTAGAAGTTAGAAATCTAAATTCCATTAATACCAAACAGATCATGGCAGCATCCATTAAATAGCCTACAACTTAGTCAATTATTGAGGTTGACATCACACAACTTATGATGAAATTCAATTTTAATCCTTAATATAAATTTTCAATACATAATTACATAAACCAATAACAATAATTAATTAATTTTTATTATTACTATATTAACAATTGAAGAAATAACAACATATACAACTAGTCTTACACAATTTTATAATACTTGTTGACAATTCTTGTAATAACAACAGGTACACAATTAATTTGTACAACTTGACCAAGCACAATTTTTATTTTTAATAAAAATTTACATCAGTGAATTTAAAAGACTTTTGTTTGACACAGTGCAAATAGGAACAAAGAAGAGTTCTTACAAATTCCACCAACTTTTATATATAAAAAAATATTTATAAGCATAGAGCCAATTTATATGGTATAATGAAATGAAGGTTTAAAGTATACTTATTTAACAAACAAACAAAGAATGATTTAAACTGTGGTTTAGAAAAGGTGTTTTACATTGTTTAAACTGGTAAAAAATGAAGTGATTATGAGAAAAGTAAATGAAGAAGGAAGGTATGGACCACTACCACTATTAGAAGACAAAATGATTTAATCACATGGCCACAATGAAAAGGAGGATGATGATGATGTGTTCTAAAGAAAAGCACGTTTAGGAGTGTGGAGAGAGAAGGTGAGGTACTTTGAAGAAATAGGCATTGTTATCACCCACAAGATCATGTGGCCATCTTCCACTGTGACCCATCCAATGCAACTCTTTTTCAGCCATTCACATATTCCACCTTTTTCATCTCCCACTTTTCTGTTTCTATTCACCCCAAATCATCACATTACTGAATTTCATGTTTTTTACGTCCAATATCGTATAATTCGAAAAAAAGAATTAATTTTTATTTAAGAATATTATTATATGTTTTTATTGCGTAAACTACTAATTAATCTAACAAGAAAATTTTGATTTAAAGAACACATCTTGCATGTAGTGTTTCTATTCATTTAACTACATGCTATCTTAGTTTACTTTTCTTTTTTCCCAGTCTATGGTTTTATAAGATCACACAGTACAAGCAACATCATACAAAACAAAAGCACCATTGTATGATCATAGTAATCACAGTAATTTGTCTCAAAAACCAATATGATGTTTGTCATCTCCATAATTAAGAGCTACCATTACATGTATTTTCCCTTTGTTTGCTTCTAATAGCTTTGAATAACATTAATTTTCTAGAGTAAGAGTTTAAAAATGAGTTATGATCATTTTTATCTTAACTTTAATTAGGAGTTATATTAATTAGTATATAACTTATAGACTTTATAGACTTCAGTATATATATTTTTTTAAATATTTTTATTAATTTTCTTCAAATTTTAATTTTATCTTAAAAATCTTTACCTTGTACTTATGTGTTTTATAGATCCTCCAATGCTAATAAACCTTTTGTTTTGATTGATTAATTGTATGATTTTTTTTTACTTCTTAATTTAAAATATTACCTCTAAATAAAATTGTTCTACGACTCAAAGATATAAAGAAAGATATCTACTTAGATAATAAAGAAATCTATTTTAAAAAAAAAATTAAGCTTATCTACTGTATACCTTGAATATAAATTATTTTCATCTTTTAAGACCTGTACCATGATACTTTTATATTAATTTAAATTTGAATTAAACTATATTTTTAATCTCATTAATATACAATATAATATTACAATTACACTTAAATAATTTGACACAGTTTGATATAAATTACAAATTTAATCCCATTCCAAAATAACATACAAATTTGTTCAATAAAATTGAATTATTTGATATTCTCAATTATTCTATAAATACTTGATGTTTGCATCTATAATTTGTTCCCAAATTTATCTATCTTAACAAATTTGATGTATTTATTTAAAAAATAAGATTATTTTAATAAAATATATGAAAATATTATAGTAATTATTTTATAATATTAAACCCATAAAGCATTAAATATTTTTTAAGTTTAATAAATACTAATAAATACATTAATTTATTCCTTCATTTAATAAGTCTTTTTGAGACAATTTCTTGAGTTTAATAATACTAATAAATGTTTATTTTATTTTTTTTCCTGATTCTTTTTAATTTCTTTTTTTTAATATTTAGATGTAGTTTTTATTGTTTCATGAGAGTTATTTGTATTTTACTCCTCGTCTAACTTTTAATTATATATATATATATATATATATATATATATATTTTATGATATAGAGATGAACAAAAGTAAAATTAAAAAAAAAGAAACTTTACATTTGTTTTATTTAAAGAATTTTGTGTTGTTGTTTATATTAAAAAAAAAAAAGAAACTTTAACCAGTTAAAATTAATTCAATAATATTAACTCAAATAAGTTTGTATGTAATAATACTATTAAATGAATTTACTGCGTCTTATAAAAACTACGCAGACATACAAAAATTGCTAATATAAATCCAAGAAGAAGGGTATGGTGGAAGAAGAACAGAGGACACTGTTTTGTTGTCAAGTGGAAAGGCGTCTAAGCCCAAACAACATACCGACAGATGCAAGAATTTTTTGATTGAATCTCACGTGAACGAAGTCTTGTGGAAACAGACGTCAGTTTATGTAAATCTCAAAGGAACATATCAGAATCAAATGATCCATGATATCCTACGGCTTCAAACCACTCTCCTAACACAATTCATGCACCTTTCCAACATCATTAGTGAACCTTTTAAGCCTCTCTAATGACATAATATAATAATGTCAAACTCATCACCTTGGAACTTCCCACTATTCATAATCCATAGATTCACTAATTAACCTTGGACTGAGAAACAAAACATTAAGTTTTTAGAAGTAAAATTTATTAAATGATCTAAAAGAACAGAAGTAAAATTATATTAAATGATTTAAATGAACAGAGATAAAATATTGGAGTTGTGTGTTATTTGTGTATTCTTTAACAAAAATTAAAAAAACATGGAAAATAGTTTTTTGAACAAGTCCTGGGTAGTTAGGTAATATCACGTGACGTTGTGTTGTGTTTCTGTTCAAGCACTTGCACACTTGCGCACACCCACGCTTTATAAGGTTAGCTGTAGAAGGAGTTTTCTTCGCGTTGCTTGCTTATGTTGTAGTGATCTGTCTTGTGTTGTTGTGCGTAAAAGCGAGTCAGATTAAGAGGGAGAGGGTGGAACAGAGAGACAGAGAGAGAGAGAACTGAAGAGAATTTGTGTTACAATTTGTCTCTCATTTCTTTCTCTCTCCCTTTTATACACCCAGCAACCGCACCACTCTCTCATCTCTCTCCATCATGTTTTCATCAACCAGATGCTCTTTCCTGGTAATTTTCCCTCTCACTTATCTTTTGATTCCACCTTCCCAACTCGCCACATCCAGATTTGCACCATTTCCTGTTATTGTTGCCTTGTCTTGTTCATTTCTGTTCACTATTTATTATGACATGAATCCAGTCTAAAATCATCAAATTTATGGGTTTTCTGGGGTTATAATTTAGTTAAAAAAATTGATTTTTCTTCTGAATTTCATGAGTTTGTCTGATTTGTTGATCTGGGTGCTGATAATTTGTCTTAATTGTTTTCTATTGTCATTTTTTTTTCTCAGAGCAACTCAGGGTTAGGTGGGTGTGGCAGAGTGTGTGATGCGCGGAGACAGCGTTCAAGTCCTATGAAGGTGGTGTGTATGACCCCACCCAGCAGGTCGAGTGATAGGAACGGCAGCGTTGTGTTGGAGACGCCGTTGAAAGAATTGAAAAAGGATTCACCGGTTACTGACGTTGACGATAACTCCACCTCCGCCGGTGGCCCTCAAGATGTGTACGGTGAGGATAGGGCGACAGAGGATCAGTTTGTTACCCCTTGGAGTGTCTCCGTAGCTAGGTGACACTCTTGATTTTGTTCATTATTTTCATGTTTTATTTAGCCTTCACTTTCTTTGATTTTAGATTCAAATTGCATGTTTGGATCTTTGTGTGTGTCACTGCCTGAATTGGGAATACTTGAGAATTGATTGAACAAGTGTTGGTTATGCATAGAGAGATCTTGAGTATGTGCGGCGTGGTTAATTTATATGGTAAATTTTATTTGTTTCCATTTCATCTTTATATTCTTGAAATGCTGGTTAATTTGGATGAAATATTTTTTCTATTACTGTCTTTGGATTATAAATAAACGGATTTGCACTTATGATGTGACTAATTATTATAAATATTACGAGTTCTGAATATATCAATCTTTCTAATTGTATTAGGCAGCTAGACTTTCAGAATCCAGATTTTTTTTTTAATTTATTTATTTTGGGGTAGAATGAAAACATGTACTTTTTCTTCTTTGTGTGTTGGTTGAGTTGATGTTCTCAATGTCTGATTTCACTTCTATTTTAAAATGGAGAAAACAATACTTTTTATGTTTATGTGCTATTTGTTGAATTTACTCAGAGACTATACAGCCATCATGCATGTTCTTGCTTCTTAGCCGCCACTTGTTTTGCAGTGGTTATACATTGTTGAGAGATCCACACTTCAACAAAGGACTTGCCTTCAGTGAAAATGAGAGGGATGCCCATTACTTGCGGGGTCTTCTTCCCCCAACAGTTATTCCTCAAGAAACTCAGGTATATATCTTATGGGGAACTATTCTGAAATTTTGTTTTTCTAACATGAATAAATTGTGTGTGCTTAGATTCAACATCATTTCAAAGTTATTGCCACTTTATTGTTCAGGTAAAGAAAATGATCCAGCACGTACGCCAGTATCAAGTTCCATTGCAGAAGTACATGGCAATGATGGATCTTCAGGTATAGCCTAATGTACAATTATTCTAATGACACAGTTTCTCATGTGATGCTTTTTGAACTTCTTTATTATTTGTCCGAACGTAATTTTATCTCTGAAAAAATGCATCCATCTGTGGAGGATTTTCTGTTCTCCATCTGCTGTGTGCACAGCAACTTTTTGAACAACTGCAAAAATTCTTGTGGTCCCTTCTGATCTGAATTTTATTTTATCATTTTGATATTCATCCTTGATGTAAAATATCTTGATGGAAGTTTCTTCACCTGATTTGATTATTAAATTATTAATGTTTTCACTTTATTATGTCATTTGTTGCAGGAGAGAAACGAACGGCTATTTTACAAACTTCTTATTGAACACGTTGAAGAGTTGCTCCCTATTGTTTATACTCCAACTGTTGGTGAAGCTTGCCAGAAATATGGGAGCATCTTTATGCGTCCTCAGGGTCTTTATATAAGTTTGAAAGAGAAGTGAGTTTGCCTTTGATTTCTCTTTTATTCTCCCAGAATGCTTTGCAAGTGATCACTGTTTGTATTGATTTTTTTTGTTCCTTTGTCTCTTGGGTGGGACTTTAACCTGAAGGGGGAAGATCCGTGAAGTACTAAGGAATTGGCCTGAGAAGAACATTCAAGTCATTGTTGTAACTGACGGAGAACGGATCCTGGGTCTTGGTGATCTTGGTTGTCAGGTAATTTCTATTTAAGTGTTGGCATTTATTATTTAGGATAGTTATATTGAATCACAAAATCTGATGTTGTAATCTCTCCTTTGTTAACCTTTTCTTTATTCTTAGGGGATGGGAATACCAGTAGGCAAACTTTCTTTATATACAGCACTTGGAGGTGTTCGCCCATCAGCTGTAAGTATATTTGGCCACAATGTTAACCCATAAGTTTTGCCTGTTATAAACTTGTAATCATCTGTTAATTTGTCCAAAGATGTTTCTGACTTTTTTTGGGATATTAAGTATTGTTGTGCATATTGTAACTTCCGTTTCTTATTAATCCTGTAATGTTATCTTTTTCAGTGTTTGCCTATTACCATTGATGTGGGTACAAACAATGAGAAGCTGCTGAATGATGAATTATATATTGGGCTAAAGCAAAGAAGAGCAACTGGACAGGTTCATGATTTGTGTTCCTTGCTGAATCTTGTGCAATTAGTAATTTTTAATTTCAGGCATATGCCACAGTACTTACTTTGTTCCAACTTCTCCGGTTCCAGGAATATGCTGAGCTTTTGCACGAATTTATGACAGCAGTCAAACAAACTTATGGGGAAAAGGTCTTAATTCAGGTATTAATGAGTGTTTTCAGAGACACAATATTTTGGCTTTAGACTGTAGTCTTTGCTAATTTCTCTTTTCTGATTTCTTTATCTGTTTTGTCATTATTTAGTTTGAAGACTTTGCAAACCACAATGCTTTTGATCTGCTCGAGAAATATAGATCAACACATCTGGTATTTAATGATGATATTCAGGTAAGAAATTGCTGTTTTCAATAATAAATTCAGGTATTTATGTATTCTTATAACCGGCCCTAATATTGTATTGTATCTACCTTGTTCCAGGGAACAGCATCTGTTGTCCTTGCTGGATTAGTTGCTGCTCTGAAATTGGTTGGTGGTAACTTAGCTGATCACAGATTCTTGTTCCTCGGTGCTGGAGAGGTGAGTCTGCGTAACACTGCGCTCATGTGTTCGTTATTGATATTAGATAAAGAAGGGGCTGTTCTCATCTTTCTTGCTTAATTGTATTGTCTTGTGGTTGCAGGCTGGCACTGGAATAGCAGAACTCATAGCACTTGAAACATCAAAACAGGTTTGTTAGCTACTTCTTACTGTTTTTATTTTTTTTTTTTTATTGTGGCGGATAGTGAGAATGTCGTCATATGAACAATGCATGAAATTTAGTTACTGAGAAACTACATTTGATGATGCAGACAAATGCCCCACTGGAGGAAGTGCGCAAGAATATTTGGTTGGTGGACTCAAAGGTTGTGTAAAACCCAATTTAACCCACCTTTTTTAAGTATATTCTCATGTTCCATTTGATTAATCTTTTGTTTCTACTTTTACAGGGATTGATTGTCAGTTCTCGCAAAGACTCACTCCAACATTTCAAGAAGCCCTGGGCTCATGAGCATGAACCTGTTAACAATCTTTTAGATGCTGTTAATGTATGGTTGTTTATCTTTCTGTCCATCGCATTACACCACACACACACACAGCAGAAGTTTTAACTTTCTTACATTTTCAATGTTATTTTCTCAGCAAATTAAGCCAACAGTGTTGATTGGAACATCGGGACAAGGAAGAACTTTTACTAAAGAGGTGATTGAGGCTATGGCCTCTATCAACAAGGTACTATTTCAACCTATTTATTACCCAGTACCCTCCATGAATTTCCTGTTCACACAAGCTAAGCAATTTAATATATGGTAATGCTTGTAGAAACCTATTATTCTTTCTCTGTCCAACCCTACGTCACAGTCAGAATGCACTGCTGAAGAAGCTTACAAATGGAGCCAGGTTAATACACGCTACTTTTAGTTTGCATTAGAATTTAGGCTTTCATTATTGTACCTCAACGGCATCAATTTTTATTTATTAATATAGGTGTTTGTAATTTACCAGTACTGAATATTTTATTTTGTTCTAAGTTCCTTTATTTCTTGCGCATCACCAACAGGGGCGTGCCATTTTTGCAAGTGGGAGCCCATTCCCCCCAGTTGAGTATGATGGAAAAGTGTTTGTGCCTGGCCAGGTCTAAGCCCTTGAGATTTTTTCTAAACTTATTAAAAATTTCACTTCTGGAATAAGGTCTAATTTGGACTTTGTTCTTTGTTCATCAGTCCAACAATGCTTACATATTTCCTGGATTCGGTCTCGGTTTGATAATGTCTGGGACAATTCGCGTGCATGATGACCTGCTTCTGGCTGCATGTAAGTACACAGATCACTTGATGATGTCATTTGAAATTAATACCTTTTTATCCCATTACTGATCTTTATTACAATGCAACAGCTGAGGCTTTGGCTGCACAAGTGGGGCAAGAGAACTTTGATAAGGGACTCATATACCCACCATTCACCAACATCAGAAAGATTTCAGCACATATAGCTGCCAATGTTGCTGCTAAGGCTTATGAGCTTGGTAAACTTTTGTTTCACGGTTGCACGTTTTGAAGCTTGTTTCCTTTGAAATTTTTGGAAACTAATTGTAAGTAGGAGTGTTGTAAATCGAGTTTGCTTTTTATTGTCAGGTTTGGCCACCCGGCTTCCTCAACCAAAAGATTTGGTGAAGTTTGCAGAGAGCTGTATGTACACCCCATCCTACAGAACCTACCGGTGAAGTGATAGATAGACATAGAAAATAAGGCGCATTTTCTTTTTCTTTTCATTTTCAATTTTTTAATTTTTTTGTTGGTGTGGCTGTTCTTGTAAGTTGTTTGTATGGTTAGTTGGGTGATTAGTACTAGTAGGAGGTTTTAGGACGGTGGTGGTAGAAGTGGTAGAAATGGTAGCTGGACTAAATGTAGCTTCAAAAATTTGGTTCTGCTTTGAATGTCGTGTGACAGACATCAATCATAATTAAAATTAGAAAAGGAAGCATATCTAAAATCGCTTTTATAATACTTGACTCAGGGTGATGATTCATTGTATGTATGAACAATCTATTTCCTCAATGGTACAACCACATACCTAATCACACTCATTTTTCCTCTATCATTCTTTCTTATCAACTGTCTTCTCCATGTAACATTTATGGCAATTGCGTAGAACAACAGTTAACCAAATCAAAAGTTTTGAAGAAAACAAGAGTGTACCTAGTCATGGCCTGTATAATATAAATCAAAGTAAATGACTTTGTGGGTGGTTTTCAGTGTGTAGCTAGTGATGAGATGAACAAAACATTCAAACTTGTTCTTCACCTTCACTGGTGTGGAATTTCTTGTAGTGATTAGGCATGAGTGTATCACTATTTGACCTTTTCTGAGTCTATTATGCATTGCAGATGCACTTGCATATTGTTACATATAATATTTGTCATGTGAAAAATAAGGTATTTTTCTATCCATAGAGACACAAGTATCTTGCACAATATATAATTGCCGTGTTTGTCTCCTTGTACTCCATTTATGGTCATACATGAAATCATCCAAACCACCCAGTTTCAAAGATTGAAAAATATCAAGAACAAGATAAGACATTAAATGGAATATTTTGATAATTTATAAATTTTATCTCCACAAAATGGAATCTAATATATTATGTGAATATGAAATATCAAATAATATAGGAATCGGTTCATAATGTCTAGCAAAAAAAAAAAAATAACGTGAAAAAGAAAAGAGAGTAAAGAAAAATATTTATAAAACAAAATAAATGTTGCTAAGTAGAGTATTGTTTGTAAAAAATATTAATAATTTTTCTTTAGTTTATATTATACCATTTAATAAATTTATCGACTATTATAATAATTATTTTAAAATATATAATGATGATTAGATCGAAAAATTAATAAGTCAAAGAGTTATTATTTTCATTATTCGAGAAACATTTCTAACACGTAGTTTTAAAACATTTATTAATAATTAAAAGAGAGCAGAAAAATACGAGGATGACCATTGACCAGAAACAGAGACGTTGAAACTTACACGTGACGATAGAACCACGTCCACATTCATTTTCCATTTTACAGCATCAATTAATTAATGTCCATTTTCGATTTAATGTGTCCATTTTCAATTTAAAGTTTTCTTAAATTTTTAGTTAAAAAAACGTTTTTTTAATAATTTTTTTATTAGAGTATTGCTATATAACATATTGGATATTGTAAAGTTAAGAGTCCTAAAAATAATTAAAAAATCTAATTTATTTTAAAATAATAAATATATCATAGACATATGATCTTCAAATTATATTTTTCAATGTGAGTTATTTATTTATTTTAAATATAATAATAAATAGTAATAAACACAAAATAAAAATTACAAATTTCACACACAATTATAAATATATCATCGTCTAAAGTGTTAAAGAAAATTGACAAAACATCAAGGGTAGAAATGGGAACAGAAGATTATGTTTAGTCCAAAAGCGTGTCGCTAAAGTCAAAGGTTTTGAACCTGGAACGTGTTTTTTTGTTTCATCACTGAGGAGCTTGGATTTTGTGGGTTTATTTGCTCTCCCGTTGGAAAAAAACAATAGTTTGGTTTAATGCATCGTCCAATATTCCAAAGGCAAAGAATTTTCTCTCACAAATACACATTGCATTTAAACTTCAAATTTACACACGTTGCATATATTAACTACCTCTAAAAAAAAAAACTTTTAAAAACATTAACAAAATATTCATTTATATTAATCCAAAATTTCAATCATGCATCAATTCCATATTTTTCTAGTGTAGAATAGGAAAACGACAAATATCGGTTTTGTCTCTAATGACACGTGACAAAGTAAGTATTTGAACACCATATAACCATATTTTTAACAAACTTATCATTAGTAATAATCTATTCTATAGAAATCTAAAAAAGAAAGTAAAAAGAAAAATTAAAGTTATTTACATTTGTCAAATAATTTATGATAAAATTAAAGTTTATAAAAATAATGTACCCAAATTTGTATTTTACAATCTCATTCCAAAGCAACTCCATCATCACCTTGCAACACTGAGAACGACCTTTAAGAATTTAAAATCCACACCTGTCTCTATCAACCGATCATCACCTTTCATTTTTATTATTGTTTTGTATACTCATTTCTCTCACGGCTGCGTTTGGCAACTGCAAAAATCTTCACATGTCCGTACAAATCATATCTTTCTGGATAATATTGTTTACTTATCACTTAAAGTTCATGTACACAATTATTTTGATCATCACCCATCTTTCTCTACGCTTCCCAAGCCTTGTCGAATCAATGAACCTGACCCGATCCTTTAACTTTGATAATGATCTTCAACTTTAATTATCTAAAGAATGGATTTTTTTTAGATTTTAGAATGTTGTTAAGACGATGAACATAATAACCATTTAGATTAGGTGAAGGAGGTGGGGGCCACCAAATGTTCCACGTGTCTTGTTACTAATCCTTAAAAAACATTGATTGGGGTTTTCAAGACAAGAGTCCTAATTTGATCCAAACACCTCCGAACGAGTAAGTACAGTGCATATCAGCACCACCTTCCACCCATTCCCCATAATTGCGCAAACAAACAATTCAAATTGAAATTAAAAATCCATTTAATTTATATTTAGCATCTACTTTTTTTCCATAAACGTGCTTATATATTATTATGGTTAGATTTATATAAAAGAAAACGAGAAAGAGAAAAGGTAGACGCATTACATGGGCATGGCACGTGTATGGAGAAGTGTCGTATGTGCCATTACATGAGAAGAACACGGTGTGTGGTGGAGTCGGTCGAAGAGTAATGAGATGGCATGGTTGGAGGAAGAAGAAAGAGAGAGAGAACGAGGGAGGAAGATGAAGCATGCATGCATATATAGAGGAACGAGCGATGGAGCGCGTTCCACTTTCAAAGAATGAGGAGATAAAAAGAAAAGCGTTAAATTAGAATCCCAGATTTAACCCCGAGGATATTCCTAAAACCCGGAATTATCCACCAGAAGCAGCACCACCCAGTCCATGAGTTTACCTTAATTAACCAAACACATGCACCCTTTGCATCTCTCTTTTCTCTATCCATAATTCCATTTTCCTTCCACACGTACCATCTCTCATCTCATCTCATCTCATCATCTCATCGCATCGCATCGCATCCTCCGTTTTCTATATTTTCACTCTCCTTATTTGTCTTGTTTTCTTCTCTTCTCCTTCTTCCCTCCCTCGACCGAGTCACGCGGCGGAGAATCGGCATGACTCGGCGGTGCTCCCACTGCAGCAACAACGGCCACAACTCCCGGACGTGCCCGTCGACGCGGGGGGCTGGCGCCGGAGTCAAGCTGTTCGGGGTCAGGCTGACGGATGGATCAATCATAAAGAAGAGCGCCAGCATGGGAAACCTTAACCTCGCCTCCGCACACCACCATTCTTCTTCTCCTTCTTCTTCCAACCTTGCCGCCTCATCCCCCAATCCCAGCTCTCCCTGCTCCGACCCGCCCCTCGAGCCCCACGGTTATTTGTCTGATGACCCCGCGAATGTCTCCACCTTCGCTAACCGCCGCGGAGAAAGAAAAAAAGGTTCTTATCATTTCTCCATTTCTTTACCTTTTTTTTTTGTTTCGTGTTAATCGTTTTATCTAACTAATTCGGAAGTGGGATTTATTTTATTTATTTGCCACACATACATCAAAATGTTTCCTCTGTTAGATTTGCTTTTTTGTTTGTTTTTGTTTTTATTTTATTTTTTTCATTCCCGGTTTGTGTTTGTTGAGGATTTCTCATTTCTTGCACTTCATAAATGCCTATGTTAAATGCGATGTTTTATTCCCAACCTTTTCCCCCCCTGTCTTGGAACTAGTGTATTTTGGTTTTCTCGTTCGTGTTTTATGCAATTGTTGGTCCTCCCAGCGGGCAATGACTGTATTTAATGTCTTGATTCGTTAGTAATTTGGATGAATGTGGATCATTTATTATATAGCGCGCATGATGTCATACTACAGTTGGGAGCTCATGGCATGTTAGGTTCGTTGGATTTATGGTGGCCAGCTAAGGTGTTTTAAACGTACTTCGAATTTTTTATCATTTGACAATAGTGATGTCGATGATAATAATAGTAAATGAATTCTTCCATGGACTAAACGGTGGTATACTTCTTGGGATATGAAAACAGGGGCATTCATTAAGGTGCAATCAATTAAAGAAAACAAAGAAGTAAATTTGCTTATTTGAAAATTACTGGCTTTCTATCTAGTGGAATCTGTTCAAAGCAGTTTGAGAGTTTGTTGCTTGATTCGAACTACCTTTTGTATCATAAAAGCAGAAGCAAAAGCAATGCTCTTGGATGGCTTAACTAGTTTAATTACTGTTGTTTGCATTGCTGTTGTTTGTTTCTGTAAATATGCCAAACAATAGCTTTTGTTTTAATCATGATCAGCTTGATACCTGAATAAGCAGAGTTGGTGTGGTAATCAATTTTTATGTTTTAAATGACTTTTGGTTATTTCCCCCTTCTAAAAGGGAAGATACTTGAATGCTTTATTAGTTAAATAGAAAAATTACGCAGGGCCAAACGCATGAGGTATTTTCAAAGGGAAACCTACAATCAAATGATGTCTATGCTTATTATTTGTATACTTTTCTGAAATTCTTAATTTCATGTTTTATCTACATGACTGCTCCATATCTTTCAATAACAATTGTTATAATAGCATTAAGTTTCATGACAATGTGTTTTCTAGTGTTGAAATTTGTTGATGATTTGCTCGACATCCTAAGGTGGCGCGGTGTTCTGCAATTTTTGGCCGAGATATGCTGTATTAATCTTGATCTTCCGTTCTCTTCAGACTATAGTTTATTTAACTTCAGCCGTTCTAGAAAAATCCAGTTTTAATTCCCATCAGTTACATGAAATCTTCAACTCTTGCAATGAGGATATCCGGTTCTAATTAATGGTCCACAGAGGGCTAATTTCAGTTATGTTTGTTACTTTATTACAAGAAAAAGAAACTGATTCTTTACAATCTTGCTGAAAAGAAAACTGGTTTATATGCAGAAAAATTATAGAAACAAAAAAAAATTAGAAAAGATTATTTAATGCACTAACCAAGTCTCTAATTATTGTTGTTACAAAGGAAAGTACTAATATAATTAACTCAAATTAACTCTCTGTTGACACTAATTACGTTAAGCCATTCCTATTACCCAACCTAAAATTGTTTCTACCCTTCTACTTACCTTTTTTTCACAGCCTCTCAACTCTCTGTTGCACTTTTTGGCTTGTTGTATTTTCTCAAACACAGCTGATTCATTGAGCTCACCGAGTACCCTTAATTCAACATTTACTATTGTTTGTTTTAGGTGTTGCATGGACTGAAGAAGAACATAGGCTGTTCTTAATTGGTCTCCAGAAGCTGGGCAAAGGAGATTGGCGTGGGATAGCACGTAATTTTGTTGTGTCAAGGACCCCCACTCAAGTAGCAAGTCATGCCCAGAAGTATTTTATCAGGCAAAGTCATGCTACCAGGAGAAAGAGACGTTCCAGCCTTTTTGACATGGTTCCAGATACGGTTGGTATTTTATTCATCATATCATATCTAATTGGCAATCGGGCACACATCCTTCTTATGCCAAGTTGTTTTCTAATAAAAGCGGAAATTAGTGTGAACGCCAATATATAAGCAATTTAAAAGTTCTTGTTATTCCCATCCCACTTCTAGTTTCTTGTGAATACATGTCATGCCCTTTTTGATAAACAGCAAGTTTTTTTTGGCTTGAATATCATGACATGATGACTACTTTACTGTGTTGAACATTCGACTCTGGTTTTTGGTTTGGATAGACTTTTCTATTACTGTGATGCATTTACAGAATTCTGTATTTGCCAAGTAAATGGGGTCATGTTTTAAGATTTTTAAGTAAACGTAGTGGTAATATTTTTCCTCTGCTTTTTTCTCTCTGGCTAACTTTTTTTCAATCACATGTCAGGCTTCAGATCCACCTTCAGTGCCAGAAGAACAAGTGCTGCTTCCACCTTCTGACAATTTGCAACCTTGTAATGGAAAATCACAGCCTTCATTAAATCTCTCACTCAAATCCGAATTTGAACCCATGGAAACTACTTCTCAAGAAAATGTGGAACAGACCAATGAAACTATGATGGGATCAAACGGACTGATATCAATGGCTCCTCATGGATTCTTCCCCACGTATTTACCTATTCCGTTTCCCATATGGCCATCAGCTGCAGCTCCATTTGAGGAAGTTAAGGGTGGAGAGATATCCCATCATCAGGTCCACAAGCCAATCCCAGTCATTCCCAGGGAACCTGTCAATGTGGACGAACTTGTGGGAATGTCTCATCTCAGCATTGGGGAAACGCACGTACGTGATAGAGAGCCTTCCCCACTTTCCTTAAAATTGTTAGGAGAACCCTCAAGGCAGTCAGCATTCCATGCAAATGCTCCAGTTGGTGGTTCGGATTTAAAAACTGGCAAGAGCAATGCAATTCAAGCGGTTGGAGCTTTTAAGGTCTGTTGAAGATAGAAGCAGTAATTAAGCCTTCTTTTGGTCATCTTTTCATTTGTACTATCATATATAATTTTTTTTTTCTGAGCCCTAGTGTTTTAACCTTCCAATCAGTAGAACAAATTATGTGGTGGCTTGTAGCTCAGGTTAGATCAATTCTTGGAAAATATTTATTCTTTCTAACTGTAAACAAACGAAGCTTTAATAATCAAATATCACCGAGAGGTCTATGCTCCTCCTCTAGGTTTGGTTAAATTTTTTAATAAATAGTACAACCATTGATCAAAATAAAATAAAGTGAATTATGTAAAGTCAGTCTGATGTCAAATAATAGTTAAAATTAATTTACGCACCTTAATTTTTTATTTTAACTTTCTCATTTAAGTTCTCTACATACATGTAAAATTATTTAAATTAGGAATCAAATATTTATTTTAATTAAACGGTTATTATGAGTTAAAAAGTTAGTCAAAATTGAGTCATAGTTGTTGTCCAGCCAGCCCCATCTATTATTCCTGCTCTGCACCAGTGTTCCTGCACTCCCGCATGTGCTGTTTGATGTGCCCATTTTTATGTTTTACGAGTTGTGTTAATTGATGTTACTCACATCATATACTTCTCTTGTGCCTCCCCCTTTTGTTACACCTGTGTAAAGGGGTGTCCCAGTCCAATTTTTTAGACTCTAGTTGGGTCAAATAAGCTTTGCCTTGTCAGTCAATATCAAATGCATTAGCCTTCCTAATCAGTTTTGAGCTGCTTTCGTTTTGTCAATCCAGCGTTATAACTGTATTGGGAGCCTGAAAAAAGATTGTGCATAGTTTTAATAAGAATTTATAACTATATGTACGTGTAAATAACTAATATATTGTTTGTCTAATATATTATTTGAGACTTGTCAAATGGAAAATGAATGGACTAGTTTTAATACGTCTTGTCGATGTTGTTTCTCCATTAAACTTATATTTTTATTTTGATAGCTGAAATTTACTATCCAAATCAAATGTTAATTTTGATCACAGAATGACATTAATAACTATAGTTCTATATTTCAGTTTTGTCCAAAATCAATCATGAATAAGACTAATATAATTGATATGATATCGTTTTTAAATTAAACATAACTCTGACATCGTGCACGTGTTTCACATATTCAGGATAGGAGTACACCGGGGATGATTAGTGATTATCTCAAACATGACGAATTATATAGGCTTATCCATGTTCCGATGATAGAATGATAAGACAGATTAGTGTCCTGATCTTCCCAAACTTGATGTGTTGTAGGATTGTCCATGTTCTGAAGATAGGATTTAAGGTGGGGGATTTCAGCTAGGGAACATCAGAGGAACGTAGATAAGACAGATTACTGCCAACAGTGGACATGCAATTTCGAAAGTACACAAAGTGTGTATAATCTATTCTCAAACCTTGATGGTCCTAGGGTGCTTCATTTCGATTTATGATGTTCAGAATTTAGTCTAGAATTGGATTGTCTATATGTAGACAATATAACAACAAATCACAGAATGCCATTGAGTTCAATTAAAGACCACATAGTCAGAAATATTGTTTACTTTGAGATCTTTTGACAGCTTCTCCCGAAGCATATGTCTACAGTATAAGAACATATTGTGTGGAACTATCTCGTATCTTTAGAAAATGCAAACAACTGCATGCATTTTTTGGTAATAGGTACCTCATTTAGCAGACTAGAGGAGCATTATGTGGTATCATATCCTTTATAGAAAGGTTCTTATTCATAAAGCCAATCAGTACTTTTCTTGATTTGGCCATCCCTTTACTGGTGGCTCAATCATCATTATTTGCTTCTTTCATTTTCCATGTTTTTTACAAGGATCTTGTCTCAAGCATTTGGATAAAATTTTGGCGGCAAGAGGAAAAGTTGGCTTTAGTGGCCATGCTTGCCTGCTTTCAATTTTGTCTTCCACACAGTGGATTCTGTATATGATTAGTAGAATTGATGCTTTTCCAGAACAAGAATAATCCCCTAAAGTCACTGAGAGGTGAGAAAGCAACCTCAGCTAACCTCTCCACGATTGCATCAATTCCCACAGGCTTGATTATTCGTGTCTGCTACCGCACATTTCTTGATGAGAAAAAAAGGAAACAATTGGTATTATTTTTCAGGTGCTGTGAGTGTGAGCAGCTAATTCTTTGTCATGCAATCCATCTGAGGCACTATGTTGTGCTCCAATCACGTCCCTTTCAATGTAATTGGATCTTCCTCGCTTTAGGAAATAGCTAGGAGATGCAGGCAATGTTTTCTGGTGGTCTGAAAATGAACTTGAAAGCAGCACTGGAACATGTTAAGATTCCAACTTTTTAGTATGCTTACTTATTAAAGGCTCTTTTGTTTTGGTGGACTATTACCTTTCTTTAGTTTACTGCCTCTGAAATAATTTGTAGTTAAAAACATATTAAGGCTAGTTCAACACAAGTTTTGAAATCATCTTCATATATTGTTGTGCCGTAAATTCGTCTGTTCTTATTTCTTTTGGTTATGTTGGTAAGAATGAATATGATTCTGCATGGGCGTTGGTAGAGATGGTACACACCCCGGGATGGCTTAAACGTGACTAACAGTCTTGCTGATGCAATTTTTATGTGGATCCATCAGGTTATCAGTTACACATCTAGAGGTTGATGATTGTCCATGGTGGGATTCTTATCAATATAGGAGATGGTGATAAGAGAAAGAAAAGAAAAATAAAATAAAATAAAAACAATCTCCTGGACTAGAAAAAAGACAGAGACACCAGATTCTGATCCTTTTCCACCCACCTAGAACATTCGACTTTTAGGCTCTTTACAAAGGAGCAGATGTGCCCACATACATACAATACAAAATAAAAAGCAGTAAATTACCCTCATATTCTTTATGATTTTTTGAGAATGCATACATACTTCTGTCTGTCTTTTTAACTTGTACAGAAACTCTTTTCAATTGTATAAAATATGTTCCTTCAACTTTTGTCACCTGAAAAACACGTTACACCCTACATTCTACAAGTACTAGGGATTATTATAAAGATTGAAAATTCAGGGGTATCGTCTATAATATCAAGAAATGACAGAAAGTGTCAGTGTAATTTTTCTATAAAATTGAAGGGAAGGGAGTTAAGCTGTGGTTAAGATCAAACACGCCCTTGTCCTTTCACTGCACTGTGACAGGAATTAGGAATAAAGAGAATGGAAAGAGAATCTCTTCTGCAACACTTCTTTCTCCATTAAAACATTTTGCTTCGCTGAAATTGCAGAAAAGGAAATGACGAGGACCACTGAGATTTTCCTATTTAATTTCCCCCACTTTTGGTCACGGTGACTCCCCCCTTTGGTATTCACTGCTCTCCATATCTGGCCACAGTGAAATCTGACGTGGACCTCTGCTATGTTGCACAAGACAAGTTTTTCTAATTAACTCTACTTGGGTAAACAAGAATGCTATTATTGAAGAAGAGAGCAATTGGAGTAGTTCAGGTGGTGTTTATTATCAGGTTAAGATCGATTCAATTTGGAAGCTTAGAAGTTAGAATTAGACTCAACTGAACCAAAATTTTCCTTTTTCCATGGTCTAGATTAGAACCTCCAAATAAAGGAAACACTTACAAAATACATGGAAAATTAAGAAGAAGCTAGTCTATATAAACAAATAATACAAACAAGTGGGGAAATTCAAATTGGTTTCACTGTTCACATAATTGCATTAGCCTTTGATTCCATGTGAATCAATTGATAGAGAAGGTGAGACAAGTCCATGTCCTGAAAAAGCAGTGGAAAGTTAAAGCGTTTTGGCTTTGTTTACAAAATCAGTTGTGACCACTCTGTCTTCTTTCTTACGTTCCTCTGTTGCTTTCCCTCCTTGTAACTTAGTTTTTAATCTTCAAAATCCTTTACAAATCTTACATATTCAACTTGTTTTAACATTTCGCTGAAAATAATGTTTTAGAGACTAGTTTTAATATTTCATTTCTAATGATTAATCAATTCCATTCTTCTTTTACCATTATTTAACTTAGACAAAATTTCCCTTAACAAAGGAATACCAGTATTTTAAAAATCATCTTGTATTAAAACAATTTATATATATATATATATATACATATATATATATATATACATATATATATATATATACATATATATATATATACATATACATATATATATATATACATATATATATATATATACATATATATATATATATATACATATATATATATATATACATATATATATATATATATATATATATATATATATATTGTATAATGCACATACAATAGAAGATGAAAAACTGAAAACAATAACTCACTTTGCTTTAGCTTATATCGCATCATAACAATTCCCAACATTCTGTGATTTTTTTTTCTGTTTTCATTCCAAATATCGTGAGAGAATTTGAATAAAAGATCATACGAATCCTAATGATTCCATGACGCATTCGAAAAAGAAAATGTCATTTAAAACAGATACACGATGAGAATACGTTGATATATTTAATTTAAAAACGGAATCGATAGATTTGCAGGTGAATATAATCTTCCATATATATATATATATATATATATATATATATATATATATATATATATATATATATATATATATGACGTACAAAGAAAATAAAAAATTCATGCGTGGAATTATGGATAAAAAATGTTTTAGCATGGTGTACCTACCGGACAAGATTAAGCGAAACGAATATCGGTTTGCGTGACGGAGATATTACACATTCATCCAAGATATCAACTGTATTATCATCAAACAAGGATAATGATGAGTTCATGAATTTCAGATAGTTATCCAAATTATTTCTCTACTTATGCATTCATTCACTTATTTACTAACACTTTTTCAGGTGCTTCTCTCTTCATCCTTCACATATATTACGTTGAGGATATCTCATAATAATTAATTTAAATAAAAAGCATCAAAATATTTAGTGTTTATTATAGAGTTAAAATTAGACTTTAATTTTATTTTTTTTCATTCTTTAGTCTTTGATTTGAGGATATAGTTATGAATCTTATATTGTTTTAGAATTGAAATGATAATTTATATATATTATCCTTTCTAAACTTACTAAATTTAAAAATTATGATGAATTATAATTTTGTGATAATAAATTTTAATAATATTATTATAAAAAAATGTCATGACATATTTATAAGATTTAGATATAATGATAATTTTTTTAATTATTAATGATTTCTTTAATATAAATTTAAAATAAAGATGAATCTGATATATTTTAAAGGTGGCTTGATAAAAGAAATAAAAAATGAAAGGAAAAAAAAAGTAATATTTTTCTGATATCTTAATAATAAAGAAAGCGTGATTAATTCACAACTCCTATATCTAATAAACAAACAATTAAATTAATATAATAATAATATTATTATTTTTATTAATATAGAGGCGTTAAAAGAAAAATTCCCTAATAAAAAATTGCTTCATCATATAGACTCAAATCGCTTAACCAGATAGACTCTTGTTCCTAGGCTTTGGAAATGTTAAAAAAAAATCCTTATGTTACAAGAAAAACAAACAATAAACACTATCATTTAACTAATATTAATAAAGATATTAAAACACAATTATTAATTGAGAATAAATAAAAAATTACAATTTAATACAAAATGAAATAATCTTACTCTAAAAAGTAAACAATAGTTGTAAAGGTATTGATGAAATAAAAATGTCTTTTCGTGGAAACGAATAACAATGCAAATGTACAACGAAGATGAAAGAAAATGGTTATAATGATTTTGTGATTTATATGCTTTGTGGGCGTAATCGATGTTTTGGGAAGACTTTTGAGGATAAATTCTGTGTTTCATGCGATGCCCAATAATATTGTTTTGGGAAATTCTTTAGATTAATTAATTTGGTTGTTGCTTCAAAATGAAGTAAGTTGAGTTGAGAATATGCTAATTTGGAATGTCTGTCTCCTATTAAAAAGCCAACTTCTTTTCTTTTTTTCACCCAACACCATACAAAGAATATGTCAATGCATCTTCATCTTCCTTATTTTTAAATTAAAATAAGTATTTCATAATTTCTAATATAATATTAGAATAAATTATAATAATATTAAAATATGAAATTTTTTAAATAAAGAAGTATAATAAAAAATCTTTAGAATGAAAAATATTTATACAAATGTAAACATACGATAGAAAACTCTTCTTTTTAAGTAAAATACTAAATACTATATTGTTTAAGAATTAAGATTAACTATCGTTTATATAAAATTCTCTTTCTTAATTTATTAGGTTCCTTTTAAAAGTAATATATTAATATATTGTCAAAATTTTATTAATATATTCTCTTTCAGAATATTAACACATGATACATCATCATCTATAATTCACCAAAAGAGGTACATTTGCAACACTGGTATCTTGTGAATTTAATTAATTTTGGGTATGTTCGTATAAACAAATCTCAAGTGGTGCCACCCAGGGTTCCGTACAAATCTGTTGTTAATGGTGCTGATTAAACATGTTTTCTGTTAAATTATTTGGGCAAGGTTATATTTTAAGTACTATGGTGGAATATTTAGGATGCCTTTGATTAAATAACATAATTAAATGCTTAGTTTATAATTTCTTATCACAATGTTTACAAAATAATATTTTGGTAGGTTCCTACAATGAGAAAAGAAAAAACAGATTTGCATGATCGATATACAATCATCGAACTCGACAACAAAATGTTTATTAAAACAAGTTAATTGTTTTTCATATGTTAAATCCTTGAATTTTTTAGAAAAGTTGTTGTTTGAATATATGCTAAAATTGGTTTGAGTAAAATATATATGTAATTAATGAAGCATATTTTAACAAAATAAAATTAGAATTTTTTTTAATTATAAATGTTTCATGCATATTTATTAGTTGTTATAATAATACTTTAAAAAATGGTTAAGATTACATATCATATGACATAAACAATATATGACTTTCAACAATATATTACATATGATATTTTTAACCTATAACAAAATAATAACTTTTGATCTAAGACAACAATTAAAAATAAGTTAAATTTTGATTTTAAAATTATGTAAAGATTTCAACATAAAATTAATTAGAAATATAAAAGAAATAAGACTTCCAACAAAAAATCAAAATTTTTAACTAATTAATTATAAGTTTTTATATAGATTACATGTATATATTAAACTCATTATTTTATCCATAAATAAATTTCTATGCATAGTTGGTTTAAAATCAATCATTAAAAAAATATTGATAATGTTGCATTTAAAGAAAATTATAACAAAATTTGATGAAGTTATGATTAACAAAAGTTTGTGATTGAATGAGAGTGTTGGTGTTGAGTTGAGGTGCTATATAAACCCCTCCTATCACCACTTCCTTTCCATGTCCATTTCTATTTCCTTTCCACTTTTAACTACAAAACAAAAATCTTCCCTTGTTCTTCTCCTCTCACACATTTTCTGATTATGGACAAAATCCATTCCCACAGGCAGGTAGCTGCTATCAAACACTCCCTCTTTGATCAGGTGTGTATGTATCTATATTCATGTTTGCCAATGTTAACCAAACATGAATATTACTCCTTGTTAGTCACAAAGATTGGATTGATTTGAAATACTTGTTAGTCACATGAATATTAACTGCAGGGATATTTGGATGAGCAATTTATCCAACTGGAAGAATTGCAGGATGATGCAAATCCTAACTTCGTTGAGGAAATTGTCACTCTCTACTACCGTGATTCCTCGAGGCTTATCTCAAACTTGGACCACACACTGTAACTTACTAAACCAACTTCATCATACTTTGAGTCTTGGAGATTTTATCTACTTATGCATGTTCTCTGCTTCTATTTTATGTTATAAAAAATATTTTTGGTGTCATTCATGACAGGGAAAGGAACCCTCTGGATTTCAACAAGCTGGACACACTTATGCACCAGTTTAAAGGAAGCAGCTCAAGGTAAACAAACCTAATAATAAGGAAGCAGGCACAAGTACTCCACTGTGCTGCATTTATTTGACACAACACAACAATGATTTTGATGAGTTTGCTTTTGCTATGCGTTGCATTCCAGCATTGGAGCTAAAAGGGTGAAAGCAGAATGCACTCTGTTTAGGGAATATTGCAGGGCAAGAAATGGAGAAGGGTAAATCCAGCTTTATCTTTATTTTCATTCACCAGCAATCACACTTACATGTGTAGCATTTGGAAACCTGAAATTTCAGAAACCTATTCTGTTAATGTGTCCTAGATAGTGATACTTCTGTTGTTGTGTATGAACATGCAGATGCAGGAGGAGCTTCCAACAAATGAAGAAGGAATATGCAACACTGAGAAAGAAACTTGAAACATATTTTCAGGTGAGTGAGCATTCAGAGTGGGAATTTGTTTATATTGGTTGAGTTTGGGAGTTTGGGAGACTAAGTGGTCCTTTTTGCTTGTGCAGCTGGCTAGGCAAGCTGGGCCCCTGGAGACAGCATACAGGCCCAAGTAAAGAGCTCACAATTAGAGAGGTGTGCATTTCATGAGAGAAAATGTGATTGGTGAATTTTGTAATTAAAAAAAAAATCATCTTCACCATATTTAGGAAAGGAAATATGACATATGCTTCCAAATATCAGTTTTGTTTTCAAATGTCAAGGAAAAGAATCTTACTCTAAAGTTCAATAGTTACTACCACTATTACAGAAGAAGATGTATTACTTGAAAAATTATATGTAATGTCATTGCAATTCTCTCTCACTCTGTCTCTTATTGGGCTCACCTGTCATATCTGCAAACCAATTACCAGAATCTTGTGCTTATTTAATGTCCAACCATCAAATTTGACAACACTACAATACTCAAGGCTTCAGGTTCAAAAGGAGTTACAGTGGAATAATAGAATATTAATAACCAACTACAACAAAATATGACCACAGTGAAATGGGCGGTGGTGGAGACTAAAATATAAATAAGATAAGATTTTAAATTTGTTCATAATAGTAATTTTAGTTAAAGAAAAAAAAAGATTTCTACCATTTATTATCTTAATATTAATATCAAACAATGAAGCATCGGTGAGCCACTTGAGTGGCTTCTAAAATTAAAAACCTAAAACTAAATTCTTGAATACCTCATGGAACTCATATTCGTCTTTTCGATGTAGAAGACATATATATGCAAGTACTAAATGGTAGTACAGTAAGTTGAGAGATTATGTTTAATTCTTTAACTATTATTTGATAAATAAACTTTATAATTTGGTTAAATTTCATAAACCGTTATTTTAGTTTGTGAAAAGTGCTTAAATATTTTTAATTTTTTACAAGACTCTCTTTTTATAATAAATATACTAAACAAGTCTTTTTATTTTATTTTTAAGTTAGTTAATAAAAACTGTGTCCCTTTACATATTATACTAAACATGTTGGTGTGGAAGGAGTTTGAACTTGTAAACATGTAATCTCATATCTCATTTGTGAGGATGATTACAAGAAGACAATGTAAAATATACAATACATTTTTTTTTATAACGCAAATTAGAGATTAAACTCTGATAATATGTTTAAGAAATAAAGGTATGCGCCTATGCATATGCATGCATTATTAATTTCTCATATTTAAAAAAGTTAGTTATGTATGTAAATGTATGCATGTGCAATGTGTTTGCATGAGTGTATTATTTGTTTTTTTAATGTTTTAAAAAGTTAGTTGTGTATTTATTCTTGTGTATTATTTATTTTTATCTTTATAAAACTGAGTTTAAAATATAAAATAATATAAATATTAAAAATAATTCCTTTCATAAAAAATATATTACATGTTACAAAAATAATTACATAAAAGTATTTTTCTAAGTTTATCTTTGCATAAAAAAATAGTTTTTTTTTTTAAAAAAAGGTTGATATACCTCTCTCTTCAAAGATATAACTACAATATCTTAAGATAATTTTATTTTTCTTGTAAAAGAAAAACGAATAATGTCTATAAGTATTCTATTGTACGATTCGCCATCAGAAAAATAGAGAAAAAAAATGCAAAAGAATAAATATAAATACTTGTAGGAGAAACAATTACAAAAAATGATTGATCTAGTACATATAATAGTTCAATGCATAGTTCAAAATTTTCAATTGAATCAATTTACTTTCTAAAATATGATTGATTTGATCTGGTTGGAATCCATTATTTTTCCTCAGTTTCCTTACGGATGTTTAAGGTTCAACTTTTGTTGCTGGTTCAACTTTTGTTGCTCCTTATCCGATATTTATGGTTAATGGTTAAACACAATTTCGTTGCTTACTATGGAGAAATTTCTATGGCTAAACCTGTACGAATAAGGAAAAACTAATTTTCATGCATACAAGTATGCAACATTCATGTTTCAATGTCATCAGAAAATCATTGAAGCAATGAACGCTCATTAATATTTACATGTTATTTGAAGAAGATTTCATATTTACTTTTGGTGAAAGAGTCTCTGCAAAAATATGAATAAAGAGTTAAAACGTGCTTGGGAAGTTGGTTTTGACCTTCAGAAATGAAGACTCCTGGATGACATTGACGCCCTATCAAAAGATGAGGAGGAGGATAAGTAAAAAGTATGCAGATATAACATTTTGGGGACCAAATAGAATTGTACATTAGTCTAAAGTTAAGTACCCACCATGTTTGCCTACATTTGACAGCTTCATGACGAACAGATCTCTTTGTATCATCAAGACACTTCGATATTGCTCGAAGAACCTAATGTAATCAAATATGAAATAGCTTAAAGAACAATGAAAATATAAAAGAAGAGATCATCAAAAGAACAATGAAAATATAAAAGAAGAGATCATCAAGACTACGCAGGCACCGAGGAACGCACAAAACTATGGACAACTTAATTCAAACATTGAAAAGCGGCTAGGAATGTGAATCAACTATAAGAGGACACTATGCAAGTCGTGATAGGAAGATTAATAAGTATATTTGTCAAAAGCTTCACACTAAAAGCATGACAAACCTGTGTCCTCATAGGATAGACTCGGGCATGGGGCAGCTCAGATAAGGCAACAAGACATTGAAGAGCGGTCTCTCGAACAAGCTGCACAAGGAGGTGAAGAGAAATCAACCATTGCAATTAATTTGACCGGTCTAAGAAAAAGATGAAAGCTTTGCTGAGTAATAATTTGGTACAAGTAATGCAATTTATACTGATGCACTTTGTCTTTCGATGGTAGTCAAAACCCAAAAATAAATAGGGGCAAGAAGGACTTCAGGCCTTAATGAAGCCCAAACTCCAAACATGTGTGACCCAACAAGGAAACATACAGGTACGCTTAGGATACATGTCGTTGTCTGATGGGATGATGAGAAAAGAATACAATATTTTTGTAACACCTTCACAAATGGGACATAACTTTTGTCACTTACATTCCAAATATTAATAATTTTGAATTTGGTTCTTCATCAAAAACAGGTATCACATAGGACAATTATGTTCTTAACCTAAACTTAATATTAGATAGACCTCTTTATAATTTTAACAAAATTAAATAATGACCCAGATCCAGACTCATCATCATGAGATGTGTAGGTAGGATGAAGATTACATGAAGGTGGTCAATTTTCATGTCTAATGAAAACTGCTTTGGTTCTATGTATTGGCATAACTAATGAATGAGATTATTTAGATATGTCCAAGTATATAATGACAATTTTTGAGCTGACACATTTGTAAGAATACATATGTGACCAGTGGAAGATTGCTACTATTTTTGGGTCACATATTTATTATTTAAATGTGATTATTTAATTTACCAAAATTATAAAGTGGTCTATTTAATATTAAGGCCAAATTCAGAATTATTAAAATTTGAAAATGTACCTGTTAAGTAGAGGGGTTATGGTCCTCGTTTATAAAGTGGTTACAAAATATACAATTTTTGTATTCTTTTCTCATCATTCCAATTAGATGAGAAAAAACTCAACTGGAAACAGTAAGCTAAAATGAGCATGGGTTCATAAATTGTCATCCTCAATCCCTCACTTGAGTCCAATATAGAAAAATCTAAACAAAGGGGCTGCTATTTGCAATCCATCCCCATTTTTACTCTTCATCACCATCATTATGAGGTGTCCATTTTACATAATGTACAGTATGAAGAGCAAAAGGGGAGGGTGAGAATAGTAGCTCCCAAAAACAAAAACCGGCAAGCCTAACAGGCAATAAATTACTTTATAAGATAAATTGTGTCATCATATTGCAGCAATAAATAACTTGTACAGGGAATCTTCGTACCATCTTATGAGGGTAATCCACAAGCTTAATCAGGCAATTGATGATAATGTGGGCATTCTCAATGACAGCATCTTGTCCTGTGCGAATGAGTTTATATAGATAAGACAGCATTTGCAGGTCACTCATACAGTTTGTCAAAAATTACATTATGGTCACTGCCTTCATCCCCAACACAATTATGAATAGCATGGGGATGCACGACAATGCTTTCTTTGTGAAAACAAGAAGCTAAGCTATAGAAAGAAAAGTGCAATACCGGATACCTAGCATAAAGTATATAATGACCAATGAATGGTCAAGGTCACTGTTAAAATATTAACTCAATTATTCCTTATAATGAATTAATTTCTTTCCACAAAGAAATCATATAAAGAAACCAAAAAAGAAAATAAATTGAATCATACAGTTTGATAACCTCAAACTTACACCTATATCTTAACCCTAAATGTTCAGATAAAACAACATTAAAAAAATTCAATCGGCGTGATAATTACCATATTTATCTGTCAATATCCCAGATAAGACTAGCAACAGGCCATACAGCATATCTTTATCTTGAATATCTTCTGTCAACACGGACAAACAATCCAGTAGAACTGGTATAAGCTGCACAATTTGCCAGTGAACTTAGTGCTTGCAGGAAAAGTAGTCTGATCAAGAAAATGCAGATCAAGGATTTGATAGAAAAATAGAATAATTGGAATCTGACATATTTAATGAGTTTAAATTCCCCAAACTAACCTTTTTAGCATCACTTAGTACAGCAACCATAGGAGTATCAGACAAGATATGTGCAAAAGCTCGATACAAAAATGATCTGAGATGTAAAAAGCAACAGTTTAGGCATGTGTAGAGGGAAGAGAAATGGTACACAGCAAAATTCCTAGTCAAAACATCTCATTGGAAATTTTGCAATCCTGCAGTTTTTTTTATGTATGTTTGATATGATTAGATATTAGTTGATATTGTTTGATATTGTTAGATATTGTTAATCACAATATCAAATAATATCTTTTTATTTACCCTATTTGTATTCTGTTACTTTTTTGAGGAGTACCTTTCTTTATTATAAATACACTCGCCCTATGTGTGGTAAATACAGTAAGGGAAATTAACCCTATATTCAACATGGTATCGAGCTTAAGGTCTCTTGGGATTTTTTTCGGCTCGCCATCGAACCTGCAGCTGCCGCCGCCTCCATCGCCGCCGCCGTCGCCACCGCCGCCGCCACCGCCACCGCCGTCCGCCGCCGCCGTCGCCGAGTAGCAGCTCGGACCGCCGAGCACGGGTTTTGCTCGCCTCCTCCGTGCGACCTCCACCGTGGAAGTTTCGCGGTCATCGGAGCAGCCACGCTCCCTCACGCGCCTCCCGAAGCCGCGCCACCTTCTCCCGTTCCGCCGCGCGTGCCGCGCGTCTCGCCGCCGTTCGTGCCGCCGATCTTTGCGCCGGCGTCGCCTCCTTCTCCTCTCTCTCGGATCTGTCCTCGCTGCTCCAATCGGACCTCTTTGGTGTTTTAGGGTTTTTCTCTCTCTTCCTCCATGGCATCTTCCGCCGCCACTTCCAATCTCGAAGTTACCTCCGTCGACTCCGGTGGGTCTCGAGCAACTGTTTTTACTAATTATGTCAATGTGAATTTACCCATTGATAAATTAGATGGTACGAATTATGCAACTTGGGCATCCGATATTAGACTTTGGCTTGAGAGTCGTGGGTATGTTGATCATCTTACTACCAAGGTAGATGATGTTCCTTCCAATGATCGTGTCCGTTGGAAGAAAGTTGATGCTCATATATGTATGGTTCTCAAGAATACCATCCAATCTTCTTTAAAACAAATTTTTCGATCGTATGGCACATGTTATGACGTTTGGGAACAAGCCAAATTATTATACACCAATGACACTCAACGTCTTTATGGTGTTTGTTACAATCTTCTTGATGTTATTGCTCCTCGAGATAAGGATCCTGTGGCGGATTATGTGGGTAAGATCCATGCTCTTCTCCATGAATTTAATGAGTTATTACCCCCTGCCTCGACTCCTGCCCAAGAATTAGAGCAACGATCAAAGTTTTTCATGGTTTTGATGTTACACTGACTTGCCGATAAATATGCCCCTGTTCGTGACCGCATTTTGGGTTCCCCTGTTACACCCAGCTTTACCGCTACCAGCTCCTCCCTTTGCGGGTGCCATGTAAACCTCTCAATATTCCCCCGTAGCTTCTAATGATTCATCCGCCTTGGCCTCTCACCGTGATGATCGTAATCGCTCTCACAAGCCAGTGCAAAGGGCGTGTCAAGTGTGACCATTGTGGCAAACTAGGCCACAAAATTGACAAATGTTATGCTTTACATGGTTATCCTCGCCGATCTGCCGCAGCTTGCTCGGACCGATTCTTCCGCACAATCCTTTGTCGTGGATACTCCTTCGTCTGTACCTTCGCACAAATCCGCTATCTTCAATGATTTTCTTCAATGGTATGAGGATCGAAAGCCCTCCAGCTTCCACTACTTCGTTGCCCACACAGGTACATCTTTTGTCGGTCCGACTCACTCTTCTTCTATTGGCCCTTGGGTTCTTGACTCAGGCGCCACCGATCACATCACTCGGTAACAAATCCTTATTTTCCTCTTTCACTTCTTCTCATAATTTACCCTCTCGTTACAATGGCTAATGGGTCTACAACTTTAGCTCATGGTGTTGGAACGGTTACTCTTTTTCCTCGTTGTCCATTGATAATGTTTTGTATGTACCCGTGTCCCCCTTTAACTTATTATCCATTAGCCGTCTAACTCGATCTCTTGATTGTGTTATCTCTTTTACCAAAACTTCGTTTCCCTACAGGACCGGAGCTCGCAAAGAGTGATTGGCACCTGGATGTAAGTCACATGGACTTTATTATCTTCAACCTTCTCCACATGTTGGCACAGCTTATGGAGTCTCCTTCTCTCCTTCATGCTCAGCTTGGTCACCCTAGCTCGCGCAAATTACAAGCAACTTGTTCCCAGCCTTATCCCAGCTTGTCCAATTTGGTGTGTGAGTCCCGTCGCTTAGGCAAACATAGTCGTACTTCCTTTTCTCGTAGTGTTTCCCAGCAGTGCTTCATCCCCCTTTGCCTTAGTTCACTCGACATTTGGGGACCCAGCCGTGTTAAGTCTAATTTAGGTTTTCAATATTTTGTTACTTTTATTGATGATTTCTCTCGTTGTACTTGGTTATTTTTAATGAAAAATCGTTCGAAGTTGTTTTCTATATTCCAAAACTTTTATCATGAAATTAAAAATCAATTTGGTGTCTCTATTCAAACTTTTCGAAGTGATAATGGCCGTGAATATCTTTCAAACTCGCTTAAACAATTTATGGCTTCTCATGGCATTCTTCATCAAACTTCCTGTGCTTATACCCCTCAACAAAATGGGGTGGTCGAGCGCAAGAATAGACACCTTATTGAAACAACCCGTACTCTTTTAATTCATGGTGAGGTTCCTCAACATTTTTGGGGTGATGTTGTTCTTACTGCCTGTTATCTTATTAATCGTATGCCCTCTTCGGCTTTAGATAACAAAATTCCCCATTCTATTTTATTTCCTCATGACACTCTCCATCCTTTACCTCCGAAGGTTTTTGGGTCTACCTGCTTTGTCCACAATTTTGATCCTGGTCATGATAAGTTATCTCCTCGATCACACAAATGTGTTTTCTTAGGATTTACTCGATCCCAAAAAGGATACAAGTGTTTTTCTCCTTCTCTTAATCGCTATTTTGTGTCCGCCGATGTCACCTTCAATGAGTGTTCCTTTTACTTTAAGGACCCTTCCCTACCCGCTGAGTCTCCATCTCGCTACGCTCCCATTCCTGTTCTCATTGATCCCTATGTTGAGGACCATCCACCATTAGCCCCTCCTCCTCCACCACCCCTTCAGGTTTATAGTCGCAGACCTCGCCCACAACAGACGCCACATGACTCACTCCCAGTGCCAAATACTCGCCTCCTCCGGCTCCGTCCACGTAGTCCGACCTTCCTATTGCCCTTCGTAAAGGTACGCGTTCTACTCGTAATCCTTCTCCACATTATACCGCTTTAAGTTATCATCGAATTTCTTCACCATTTTATACCTGTCTCTCGACTATTTCTTCTGTGTCTATTCCTAAATCTGTCTCTGAAGCCTTAGCCCACCCCGGTTGGCGTCAGGCCATGCTAGATGAACTCTGTGCTCTTCGCACTAGTGGAACCCGGACGCTTGTCCCATTACCATCTCGGAAAATCTGTTGTTGGTTGCAGGTGGGTCTTCGCTATCAAGGTTGGTCCCGATGGTACTATTGATCGCCTCAAAGCTCGCCTTGTAGCCAAAGGCTATACCCAAATTTTTGGGTTGGATTATGGTGATACTTTCTCTCCAAGTGGCAAAGATGGCTTCGTTCGTTTATTCATTGCCATGGCTACTATTCAACAATGGTCTCTTTATCAACTCGGATGTCAAAAATGCTTTCTTGAATGGCGATTTGCAAGAAGAGATTTATATGGAGCAACCTCCCGGATTTGTTGCTCAGGGGGAGTCTTCTCGATTGGTATGTCGTCTTCGCAAATCTTTATATGGCCTAAAACAGTCTCCTAGGGCCTGGTTTGGAAAATTTAGCAGCTGTTGTTCAACAATTTGGCATGACTAGAAGTGAGGCGGACCACTCGCCTTTTACCGTCACTCGAATGCCGGATGTATCTATTTGATAGTGTATGTCGATGACATTGTTCTTACAGGTAGTGACCATCATGGCATCTCTCGATGAAACAACACCTTTGCCACCATTTTCAAACCAAAGATCTTGGCAAACTCGGATATTTCTTGGGTATTGAGGTAGCACAATCTACCGATGGCATTGTTATATCTCAAAGAAAGTATGCATTGGATATTTTGGAGGAAACTGGGTTGATGAATTCAAAGCCTGTTGACACACCCATGGATCCTAATACCAAACTCTTGCCAAATCGGGGGAGCCAATGTCGATCCTCGAACAAGTATAGAAGATTAGTTGGAAAATTAAATTATCTTACAGCTACTCGCCCTGACATTTCCTTTGCAACGTAGTGTGGTGAGTCAATTCCTCAATTCTCCTTGTCAAGATCATTGGAATGCAAGTCATCCGTATATTAAAGTACATCAAAAAGTCTCCTGGAAAAGGTTTGGTGTATGACTCCCATAATCATACAAGAGTTGTCTCGCTATTCGGATGTCGATTGGGCAGGATCTCCCTCCGATAGAAGATCTACATCCGGGTATTGTGTTTCCATTGGTGGTAACTTGATCTCATGAAAAAGTAAGAAACAAAGTGTCGTGGCAAGATCCAGGTGCGAAGGCAGAGTATAGAGCTATGGCCTCAGCCTACCTGTGAACTTATTTGGCTCAAGCAATTGCTTAAAGAGCTACAATTTGGAGATGTCACTCAAATGACACTAGTGTGTGACAATCAGCCGCTCTCCATATAAGCTCTAATCCTCGTCTTTCATGAGAGGACTAAACACATTGAGATTGACTGCCATTTTATTCGAGAAAAGATTATGTATGGAGACATCAAGACCGAGTTCGTTAACTCATGTGATCAATTAGCAGATATTTTCACTAAGTCTTTACGGGGACCTAGGATGGATTATCTTTGTACCAAGCTAGGCACATACGATTTGTATGCTCCAGCTTGAGGGGGAGTGTTAGATATGATTAGATATTAGTTGATATTGTTTGATATTGTTGAGATATTGTTAGATATTGTTAATCACAATATCAAATAATATTTTTTTATTTACCCTATTTGTATTCTGTTACTCTTTTGAGGAGTACCTTTCTTTATTATAAATACACTGCCCTATGTGTGGTAAATACAGAAGGGAAATTAACCCTATATTCAACAATGTATATGGGGGACCTTGCACAAAATTTTAGACAATAAGGCATAAAAAAAATAAACATAAGATGCTAGAAATTGTCTGGGAGGAAAAATAGTTTTCATTGAGTGTCTTTGCATGGGTGAGAGAAAACAATACACCTACCTCGACAATGGGTAGTAAGCTTTTGTAATCAACTGCAGAAAGATAGGCATCATTGAGGAAAAAAATCTCTGCTTATATAGAGGCTGTATTGTGGCATGAAACTTCCTGTTCAAACAAACTTCACAGTCACTCATTAAAACATGAAAAGCATCAGCAGCAGATTTCATCACTAAAGTATCCTGAATTTGCTCTTCAGTATTTTCAAGGGAATCTTTCATCAAAGGCAAGGCAGTGTTTGTGCCTATTAAGCACTCAATAAAAGTCATAGTGATATCTTTAATCTTTTCATGACCTCGTAGAAGTAAACCTTTTCCTATCCATGAGAGCCCACAAATGACATTGATTTGAAGCAATTTATCATTGGCAAAGCCCAGGCATATATCAGTAAGAGTTACTTCTTTCCCATTACTTGTTCCATTACATTGCTGCCACATATCAGTACTAGAAAACCATATTTTTGTATCGAATATAATATCCAGAGCTTCTTCCAAGGTAAGATCACTGGAGTTCTCTGCACTGTTGGATGTTGAAACTAATTTGTTAAGTATTGAACCCAAGGCCTGTGCAACTGGAACAATACCCCTGAGGAGTACTACTCTAAATAGATGCACAAGTACTCTTAGATTTGGAATGAGTGTTTTGGGGCAGACTGCAATAACTACTGACGCAAATAATGAAATTAGCCCTTCATCTCTAAGGGAAATGTCATATTTTTCAGGAGATAGTAGTACCCTTTCCACTTCTTTAAGCTGAAAGTTAGAGTGTGATGATAGTATACTGTAAGCTTTTTGAATTATAAGATTTTGGTTCTCCACAGAACAACTCCCTACAGAAAGTTTCATTGCTTTCATTAATGCATCAAGAAGACCCTGAGTACAAACAAAGAAAATCATCATTACTACGCTTAGGATAGTCTATTTAGTTGCATGTATATAACAAAAAGTACATGGTTTTAACTACAAACATATAATAATGAAAGAATACATGTGGGTCACAGCAATATAAACCTTTTCCTTGAGCAGGGTATCAAAAACTATGCAATTTTCTGCTTGACTCCAAATATCCACAACAAACTGCACTGCAAAGTCCTCTAAACCACCATTTTCATGGGTCCTGGTCACATTCAAATCAGAGTATCAGATTAATAGGAAATTCAGTCCAGTGCAAATCCTCCCTGCACCCGGAACAGAGAATAGCTTATATTGGACACAGTTGGTAAGACAAAATATCTATTGGGCTCTCCTTCCTTATTTCTAACACAATATATCAGGTATTTTCATATCTTTGTAAATACAATTCAAATAGTCACAGCAAAGTGAATAGAAGTCCTGAAGAGCTGAATACCATGGGAGCAACTTGCAAGAATAGCACTCCAAAAGCTGAATAGCAGTTTCAGAAGACCTTAAATTTGTATGGACCTAGAAGAAAAATTGCGAGAAAATTATAATCACATCCAAAAAAGTAAACCCACAATATTACAAGGGTAAATGGTAAGTAAAAACGTTTAAACCCAGTATCAAAATCGACCTGAAGACATTTTAAAAGTGAAATGACATTCTATGATGCTTGAAAGAAGAATATAGAGTATTAAAGTTACATACGTACACAAACCTTGGATAGATTGGCAAATACAGCTCCTCTCAACCCTTGAAGACATGTTAGCATATTTTTTATTCCAGTCATGCCTATATTAGATAATGCTTCCACTTTGAATGAAAAGGGCACAGGATGATCGTCAAGAAACAGAAGTTCCACAATTTTTTCTGCAACTAAACTCCTGTAGCACACAGCTTTTTCAGACTCGTGAAACTTGTGAACAAAGGAGCCAATATGATACAATGCTTTCAATGCGGCTTCCCATAATATTTTGTTGTTGAAATCTTCAATGATAATTGACATAAGTTTCTTCAAGATATTCTCAAATATTGATTGTTGTATTGAAAAAACATCTGAATGAAACATAGCAAGTATCTGCAAACCCTTCACTGTAGATCAGTACCAAGAACCAAAAAGAAATCAGTAATGAGTATAATAAGGGTGCATCAGGAAATAAAATATAGGAAATAAAGTGCATAAGTTTTTCTGTCATACAATTCAAACGAGTTATTTAAATTTTATTCTAAATTGTGTCAAATCATTTAGAATAATTAACCAAATGCAAACAAGATGATTCCGGTCTAGCAATTCCCTCCAGGACCAGCTTTCTCCCCTTATGCACATTATTCTTTATGACTTCACTTTACCAACAATATATACCAATTATGGATTATATTGAATGGAGAATAGGTAATACTGAATAATAGCAAGGCCATGATAATTGTTCGAGGAACTTCAAAGATGGGGATGCTTCAGATGAAAACTAGTGAAATTCTTTAACCTATATCAAGGATGGAGCTACTTCAAAGGATATGATGACACAACATATTGGTTCACTTTAGCCAAAGGACCTATCTCTGTATTCTTTGAACAGGGAACAATTGGACAGTACAGCTGCATAAAATAAATTAAGGTGTAAATTAGGCCAAATAGTTAATACACCATCGTTTATGATGCATGGAAGTATCTTCTGTTTTCCCTATATCTTACTCATCCATCTATTCTGGTGTTCATTTTCTCCATCAGAAGCATTTCTATGATACCCAAGAATTTGTACATAGTGTCATGTTGATAGAATGAGTCCAAAACTTCTTTTAAACCATAAAGTAAATGCAGTTTATTTGTAATAAGATCAATATAAGGGATTAAAAACATTATTTCAAACTTCAGATTGATGACAACTATAGAAAAAATACTACTGGACTAAAAAAAATGATTTCAATTAGGGATTAAAACTAAATTCACTTGTTTTATAGGGATCAAACACATTTGACTTATATATTCATTATGGTCTAGATGCATAGATATCTACATAGGATGAGTACCATTGAACAGAATATGATTATAATTCTGGAGAAAAGGCCAAGTATATAAATAAAAAGAGTATGCACCTCCAATGCATATATCTGGATCAAGGGGGCATCTGTCAGCACTTGCTGCCAAGACTGATCCGAAGGCATTAAATAATGAAGATGAAAAACTATGAAGCATAGTACAACATGTCTCATGCTCAATAGCATACAGCAGTTCTGGTTCCTCAGACCCAACAATTAACTCCCTGAATCCTGCAAGTAGTTCAATGCAGAGATAAAGGAATCCAAACTTGACTCTCTGAGAGGGGGAAGTATCACCATTTGGAAAGCTATCAATATTATTAAAAGAAGATCCTAAATTATCCATCATTCTGGAGAAAAAACTTTCAAACACCGCATTACAAGAAGTAATGGTAGTCTTGGAAGTAATATACAGAATACGACCAATAGCATGCAGTTTCTTCTTTTCTGGCACAGGAATAGCATCATATATCTCATAAGAGGCAATGGTGTTGAAAATAATGTTCACATCATCATCCTCAATTATTAAGCTAACTATCAAACTGCTATTTTGCACAATTAGCTGCTGGAGGAGGGACAGAGCTTCCATCTCAAATTCATTCTCTGGGAATCCAATACCATCTACAGGTGCAATATTTAAAGAAAAATCTGACTCCCCCAAACATTTCAATAGTGTGTCTTTTATTGAGGACCAAATAGACTTAGCATATTTTGCAATTCTCTCTGCCCCGTACTTGGAAGAGCACACTGTAAGATATTTTAGGGACTCAATCTGAATACAAAGAAAACCAACACAGAAAAATATGAATAGTTATGAAAATATATTAAAGGTTATTACACAGATATTTAACATCAAAGATAGAATGGTAATCTATTAACACCAACCTTTGCTGAATGCAGTGGTGAAGAAAGTTTCTCAAGAAGCAGAGGAATGACGAATGGCTCAAACAGAGGTGTAGAAGAGAATGCAGACTGCAGAATAGTAAATAATTTATATTATAAATAACATATGCTAATCAGTATCCATATGCAAAATATACAATACTCTTAACAGATTTCAATTGCATCTGAGAAATACCAGAGATGCTCCTTCCTTTAAGGACAATGGTAAGGTTAAATTGCATCCTTATGTGTGTATAGGGGTGTATGCATGCATTCAAGCAACTTTGTATTTTGTTTATTTTATTTTATCAGGAAAAGGAAACAGAACAGAAATACAAAGGATATTCCTATAAAGGACCTCAACAAGAAATCAAGTTATTCTACCAAGCCTGGGTATCTAAAGTATGTCACTCCATCATGTAATATACAACACAAGTAATAAATATAGGGGTAATTCAGTGTGCTAAAAAACAGTTGACAAGTTGTTATATCCTTTAAACACTAACAATGATTACTCAATAAATGTATATTTTTGAGTAAGAAAAATTCCATGGTTACTGTTATTTGACATTTATCAGACTCCATAGAATTAAATATGTAACTTCTATAGAAACCTAGATATAAAAACTAAGCTTGAAAATATTTGCCTCTAAAGAATAAAATAAAATAAGCATTTAACTAGAACCCCTGTAACTTCTGATGGTTATCTGCAGAACCTAGTGAAGTTTTTAGCAAAACTGCTGTCTATCTTCAAAATGAAAGAACTAGCAAAGAAAACCACAAAACTATTCTACTAGCTCTTGGTATAAAGGTGATACTTAGCGAAAAATATTTTTTGAATTAAAGGAAATGAGACAGAAAATGAAATATGGAGTAGCAAATTTTAAAAATCTAGAGGTTCATATCAAAGATCAAATGACTAATTGTAAGAAAACGCAACCAATAAAAGTAAATCTCCACAAAATCTGAATGAAAGTTCTACATACCATTAGAGACCTTGACAGGTTGTCTCTTTGCTCATGAGTATCTCCATTATTTGGCTGGAAAAGGAACAAAGATTATAGATAAACTACAAAGCAAAAATGGACATGTTAAGATGTTCCACATTCATTACAAATAAGGTAAAAAAACTCCAAGACTAGGGCAATCCTTCCTCTCTTGAGCTAACCTTTGAGAGAGAATTGAGCTAAGTCCATTTCTATAATGCTGATAAAGAGCCTATTCAAATTTAATGCTGGACCAGCCAAACATATACAATCTAAAACTCCATGCTTTAAATGTCTGGTCCTGAACATAGAGGGGATGTTAAGTTGTCTCATATTGACTATCAGAATACTCATGAGGCCTGGGAAACTCTCCCCCATTGAGCTAGCTTTTGGGAATGAGTTAAGCTCAATCCATTTTTAAGAGGATATTTAGACAGAAAATGACTATCTTGTCACAGTCTCCCAACACCAGGGGCGGATGGCCACCCCCAATTTTTTTTATTTATTTTAATTTTATGTATAAATATATTTTAAGTTTTTTTTTTCTTTTAAAAAATTATACTAGCCCTCCTTCATTTTTACTTTTGCCTCCAACTCTGCGAACATCAATATAATATGGCATAGCATAGTCAAATAAATGTGAAACAATTTGACATAAACTCGTACCAACCAAATTCTCGGCATCTCAAATCTACATGCTTAGGTGCTGTAAAAAATTAGTAATCCCTAAAAACAAACAAAAGATGTTCAACAGATAAATATACCAGAAAGATTTAGCTTACATGTGTAATGCGAAGGGGAAAGTACGGTTCTAAAATGTCAAAAACATCTTTGGCAAAGCTTGCAAGTGGACCAGATGAATCAGGATATAATCGTGCCAAAGACTCAACAACATGAAAAGCAAGCATTAAACATTCTGGATCCATCTCTGCATCTATGGATGCACAAATTCCATATATAAGGTCATCTCCCTACAAGAGAGTAAAAAATAATGAGTATTTAGAGATCTCAATAAAAGATGCCCATCTGTATCATAAAAAAATCCGTATCAGCAGCCAATTTAATTGATAAAATATTTTATATAATTGAGTAAAAAGTGGTTTACATAAATTACATTTTCAGTATTATAGATGTAAAACATTGACTGTAATATTTTTTTTGTTCATTTTAGTAACATATCTTATCCCAATAATATTTATTTGCATTATGAAAAACATTTTATTGAGTAAATTTCAATATACAACTCAATTCAAGCAAAACAAGATAGATCACTTCTACTTTCAAACTAGCCAACGAGGCTTCTACTTTCAAACTAGATAGTCTAGATAGTCAATCTACGCTTCTACTTTCAAACTAGATAGTCAATCGAGGTCATCACGTCTGTATATAAACTTCTACTTTCAAACTAGATAGTCAATCGACGCTTTTACTTTCAAACTAGATAGTCAATCAAGGTCATTTCAAAATAAGCTGACCCAAACCGCTTCACAACTTGTCTTCAGCTAAATCTAAACCAAATCTATAGATGAGAAACTCGTACCAAATCTATACCTGCGAAACTCACAGGTAAACAAAAAAGTATCTCAAGTGTTACATTTGAAGCTTAAAAATAACAAACAGAACTATAAGCTTAAAAATAACAAACAGAACTACAGACTTAAAAATAACAAACAGAATTCTAAATATTCAAGAATGTTATTTTCATTAAGTTTTACTCATTCTTATATAGGAAGTTTAGGGAAGCTGGGACTACCAGTGTAGTAACCATGTCAGAGTAGTGTTCTAGCAGGCAATCAAGTAGTTCAAAACATAGCTGCAGTATTGAAACAAGGAAATTAAAGGTGAGATGTTTAGCAATGTTATCTGCAATAAAAAGTGTGGAGAATTGCAGTAGAAATCAGAACAAAAATAGGTCAACAAAAAGTAAGTCATTATATAATCAGTCCAAGTTGTTGCTTTTATTTTTAAAAGAGTTATTTTTCTGAATTTTTCTTTAAAAATTTAAGGTTCTAGCTGATTTTGGATAACTCAACTTTGAAGAGAGCAGAAGCTTAAAATTTGTCAGCTTTCTGGCTATAAAAATAATTTACCTTCCTGTCATACTGTCCTAAAGATTGAACTTGCATGTATTGGAAAAAAGACTGAGCAATGGCCTTAGCATCACTACTAGTTACAATACCCAAAACACTTTTTCTCCTTATCAGTGCCAAGCAACCCACAAGTGCACCTCGGACTGCTCTCCAATCTGCCTGATAATAAATAATATTATACAATATCATGAGAAAATATGGTTAGAGACATCATAACTCAATGATTAGGCCAGATCTGTAAATTAAAAAAATGCAAAAAAAAAAAAAAAAAAATCTTGTTCAATTACCAATGCTCAAACAAGGGTCAAGAAGCACACAAGTTTTGCAAAATATCAAAATCAAAAACTTGAGGCAATTGAGAAAATTATAAAAGACTTGATGTAATGCATCACAAGTTATGATTTATTTTCAAAAGCAGTGAAGGAAACAAATACATATAGTCTCAGTATATTATCTGCATGGAAGATTTTTAATAATTTAAAGACTATGATCTCCACCGTAAATGCAATCCCTTGTTATTGAAATATGAATGGAATAGGAATTGCAGGAATAAACAAAGGGAATAAAAAAAGTCATTGACAGATGCAAACTAGAACAAGAGTTTAGGAAATTCTCAAACCATAAGCTTTGAAAAAGTAGTGTAGCAAAATAAATATTAATACTGACCAGTCTGTCCTTGAAGAACCCCACCAAGATATGTATAGTGGCACTGTCAAGAGGTTTTGATTCAATGCGAGTGATCACCTCTGCTAGAAGAAGAATTCCTGGATAAGTTTTTTCCAAGAGACAGTCAGTAATAACATAGTCCAAAATCCTTTATATAGGATTGAAATTACACATGATCCATACATTAAAATGCATGAGTAAAGAGCACACATAATGCATGTTAATTTGTACAAATTTCAGCTGTAATGGAACGCATGAGTTATCATATATAACAAATACTATATTCCAGCTGAAAATAAATCAAGAAAAAAAAAAAACACCTCTTCCACGAATATCATCATCGGTTGCGGTCAGATACATTTCCAGTTTCGTAACCTAGATTTTGAAATAGAAAACAAAAATCCAATAAAAAAATAAATTAAGCTAATAAAAACAAACGAAAAACTGTACTCCAGATAACGCATGAATAACAGAGTAAGCATGCAAAGTGAAAGGTACCAGCGCCCTTAGAGGTAAGACATCGGTTTTAACGAGAGATACAATAGCGTTCAAGCTTGCATCCTGAAATGCAAAAGCAATTACATAGACAGTTGAAATAAGAGATGATGAAGAACTATTACATGAATTAGAGGAAGAGAGAACGGAATAACCTCATCAGAAGAGGAGGTGTCAATGTATGACTCAATGTGACGAGTCAATTGAGTAATTTCCGCCATGCGAAAGAATTAAGGGTTTTAGAATTCATAAAGACTATGGACTGTATATAGGGTTTTAGATGGATATTTATGCTTGATTGACTATACAGTACTCAGCAGTCAGCACAAATTCCCTTTTCTTATTTTTTTTTTTAAAGACCTACTAAAATATATATATATATATATATATATATATATATATATATATATATATATATATATAGGTTATGTAGGTAATTTAGTCTTTTATTTTTTAAATATTTTAATATGATTTTAAAAATTTTAAAATTTTCAATTTAGATGTATGAATATTAAAATTGATGTCAATTTTGGATTATCATTAATTATGTTTTGATTCTATTATATTATATGTCTAATTGGAGTATCAATTCTGACGTGGTTAGGTAATTGATTATAGTTATGTGGCAGCGTCACATCAAAATTGCGCGAAGAGAAGAATAGGGGCCGCGGATGTATTTAGGGTATGAACAATTGAAAATGTGTACAAATGGGTTAGGAAACGAGTGAGGATCTACAATATTATCGTGGAGGTATGAGTTTCATCTATGACAAAGGAGAAGTCAAGTTTAGGATTTACGCCATGACACTTACTTTCTTCGTCTTTGTCTTCTTATCGACGATGATTGTTTAACACCGTCTTTGTCTTCTTATCGACGATGATTGTTTAACACCGCTTCTCTCTCATTATCGTCGTTCCTCTTTCGTCGTCAGAAATAACTGGGTCCCTCGATGTCTTCGTCGCAAATCCTAAATGGAACCAACCTCCTCCACCTTCGTCACAGTCAATTTTATACACGACAACGATTGGAACCTTAAACCCTCACAAATGGAACTCTCATCTTTCCTGTAGTTGCAGATCATCTCACTTTCTCTCACCCATTTGTACAAACTCTCAATTGTTCAAACCCTAAATACATCTGCGACCCTATTCCTTTATTCATACAATTTTAATATGACGTGACAAATCTACCACGTAATTATAACCAATCACCTAACCACATCTGATATTCCAACTAGACATCTAATATAACATAGTCAAAACATATATAAGTAGATCAAAATTGACATTAATTTCAATATTCATGTCTAAATTAAAAAATTTAAAAATTTTGGGACCACATTAAAATATTTTAATAAATAAAGGAACTAAATTATCTATTTAACTTTATAAATATTTGTTCTTATATAACTTTTAATATTAATACACTCTAAAATTTTATGAATAAAATAAACATGTTTTTATAGTTTATAATAAAACTAGTATTGAAGAGATAAATTGTATTATAATTAAAATAAAAAAAATAAATATTTTTAAATATGTAAATACTATCTAAGATTTATTATAAGCGAGTTTATGTAACATCCAAGTATTTCTCAAAAATATTTCATTAATATAATAAAATATTTTGTTATTAACTTTAATAAAATGGTATTATGAGTTATTTTAAGACTTGATAATTTTTAAAGATATTAATAAATAATATATATATATATATATATATATATATATTATGAAATTTTTAATAGAGTGAAATAGATAAATTTAGAATTGAGTTTAAAATGAAGTAATAATAATAATAAGAGTAATATCATTAAGCAAAATTAGTAATATAATTTCCCATTGATGAAATGATTTAATTGGTAAGTGAAAAAGTAAGTGAGAGTAATTTTGGAAAGGAGGTTAAATTTAAGGAAGAGAAAGACCAATTTTCTTTCTCACTTACGGAAGCCATTTTGGGAGCACGGGAGGAAGAAGAGAAACTTGATTTTGCTTGCCCACACCATCTTGGTTCATCCTTTTTGCAATTAAGAGTAAGATCCATGAAATTAAAGCATTTGATTTCAATATTATCTCCTAAAATCTTCTTAATCTCAAATATATAGTCATTTTGATGCTTATAGGAGACAAACTTTTCTTGAACTAAGGATCTTCATTTTCTTTTTTGAAAGCTTCATTTGAGGTAAGGAGAGTCTTCTTGTCATCAACCCTAGGCTAAATCATCATTTATCTCACTTCTACATGAATTGGAACCAAATTAGAATGTTTTATAAAAATTTCGTATGACTGTTCTAGTATATTTAGATACTCTACAGTGCTCCTTTCATATTTTAGAGTTTAGAAATGGATTCCTTGGATGTTAAAACCTAGAGTTAGCCATAAAAATCATTTAAATTGGATTTTTCTAAAGGAAGATGATGAAATATGTGTTGAGAGATGTTGGACAAAAATCTGCATGTGAATTGAATCTTTGGGAAATTATGTAAAAATATTTACTTGGTATTTAATTCTGAAATTTTGATTACATGTTCCTTTTTATGTCTAGTTCGTGTGTGATTTATTTCAAAATTTTCTGACCAGTTAATTTTCGATGAAAAATCTTGGAAGTAAATAGGTTTTGAGTTGAGTGAAACAAAATTGTTATGTCCGCTCAGCAACTTTGAAAAATCATATAAAATTGAAACTAAAGTTTTTTGAGATGAAATTTTTATCATAGTTGTGATTGTAGGTATATGTTAAGAATATTTATTTTCATAATTTTATAACCATTAATTTATTTTATAAAAATATATCTTTGAGTAATACCCGATAGTGGAATCTTCAAAATGTATAAAAAGGGAGGAAAGTTTTGAATGACTTAGAAATCTTTAAATTTTGAGTTATAATTTTTATTATAATCCTAGAATATATGTATTTTGGACTGAAAAATTTCATAGAATTTGGAGTTAGTTTAGATGGCAAAGAATTTTTCCAAAGTTACACTTTTCTAATGCTTATGATAAACTTTTCTTCCTAGAGAAGTATAAACAAAACTTTAGTTATGTACCTATTATTTATTTTATGAGTATGTATGATGTGAGAATGATAGTGTAATGAGATATTTTGGGACACAAGATTAGAATAACAAGAGTTTAAAAAAATTTGATGGATTGCAATGTGTGCTGAGTCCGAGAGTGTCCGACCCTCGGCAAATTGATATTGTTCTTGTTTGATGCAGGAAAATGTGTTATATGAATTTGATTTGAATGTATTTGTAAATTGAGAAACGTCCAAATTACAAAGGAGACTCTGTCAAATTTTTGAAATTGATGAAAAATAAATAAAGCTTAATAAGAATGGTATAAAGAAACGTTATGAATAGGTAATGCATTCATAATCATGATAGTTAGTAGAAATCATGTCTATAAGATGTTTGTGCTATGTGCTGAGTCTAAGTCAGAGATGTTGGTCATCTAAAAATAGGGTATTATGTCTATAGTGATATGGTCTGTATGATGTAGAGTTTGTTCCTACCAAATATATTGTTGTTAAAGAGATGGTGGTGTCACTCAGTGACGAGATATGTGTGTGGATGGTACGGAGATACACCGGGGGCTTAGGAGATAAGAGAAGATCAGATTGATCTTGGGGAAATATAGAGTGCATTGTTTGGCCACGCTCTATACTCCCGACTTGACTCTTTGACTTTGCCTTTTTGCCAAGGGATCGTTATGCGCAAGCATTGTATCTGTGATGCGCAGATTAACCGGCAACTATCTATACTTCTGTGAGCCATTTATGCTCGTGTGTAATTTTGTTATGCTTGTGAGAGTTGTCTGTACTTATGTGTGATCCTTTAATGGATTGAAAGATGGGATTGATAGTGTATCCTAGGTGCATGAGCATTTCAAATGTGGCAAAAATGAACGAATGAAATACAAACATGTATTGTGTGTTTTTAGTTTGAGTAATGTGATTTGTGAAAATTGTTTGAAATTTCTGTGTGGGATACTCTATTGTAAAAAATGAAATGTTTGACTATAAATGTTACATATGGTTTTAGATTGTGGAGGTTGGAAAAATTTTCGGTTTAGTGTTCTGGAGTGATGAGAAAAAGAAACTCATCCTTACTGTTATATTTCAGGTAATGATGGAACAATTGTGGTGGAGGAACCACAGTTTGATTGAGTATCATATACATATGTATGGAAGAATGCTGCCCTCCGGGAGGGGTATGATCTTGTATAAGAAAATTAGAAATTTTGGGTACCTGCTCTGATTAGGATTTGCTTTATTTTGAGATGTATAAATTTAAAATTAAGTTCTAATCTTTTTAGGGTACAAACTTTATGTAATTATAGTATGATCCTTGTTGGATTAGTTATTTTGAAAAACAATGTATTATGATTATGGATGTATATGTATGAATATGTTCGACACATCTATATATATTCATTAACGCATGATCAGTTTTAAAGTTCATTGTCATAAAGAAATAATATTGTAAAAAAAAAATATTCCCATTTTTGAAAAATTAAATAAATTAGAAGAAAAAAAAATGACGTTACAATTAGGTGGTATCAGAGCAGTTTAGTCCATATTAGACTGGGGGTTTGGGATTAGTATGTTTTTGCTGTGAGACTTAATATTTTTGTTAAATCAATAGTATAAATAATTGATTGGTGTGATGACATATTTAATAATTTAAATAGGGATTTGTTTGAATCAATTAAGTTTGATAGTATAAATATGTGTGATCAGTAGGAAATATATCTGAAAATGATAATAAATATAATAGTGATGATAATGTAGTTTCTTGTGGAACTAAATATTTTGGTTTTAGGGAATCATGACTAGTAGATCTACTGGAACGACAAATGAACTTCTTGCTCGTATGACTCAAGTATTAGAGGCATTAGTACATGACCGTGGGGTAGAACCCGTTGAGTATCGTGGACTATCTGCATTCACCAAGCATAATCCACCAGGGTTTGAGGGAAGGTTTAATCCAGAAGGAGCGCAAAGATGGATAGCTGACATTGAGAAAAATTTTACTGCAATGGGTTGTCAAGAGGAACATAGGGTGGTCTATGCTACTTACATGTTGTCTGGAGAAGCTGAAGATTGGTGGAGATTTGCCAGTCAAACCTTGCCCAGGAATGATGAATATGTGGAATGGGAAGTATTCAAAGCAAGTTTCTTAGGAAATTATTTCCCTAGAGACCTAAAGAAGCAGAAGGCT